CAAACACGCCCCCCGGGCCGTCCCCGAGCGGGCGGCGCCGATGGCCGCCGCGCCGGCCGCCCCGCGGGCCACGGCACTGGCGAGGTCCTCCATCGGCATGGCCGTGCCGGCGGGTGCCCCTCCGGGGGGTGCCCCCGCTCCTGGTCGCCTCGAGCGGGTTGGCCGGCTGCGCCAGCGGCGCAATCTTGGGGGACTTGTAGTACATCCCGAACTCGTCGGCGACGAGGGAGTGCTCCTCGGGCTCGTCCGCGATGGTGCCCCCGGGGCAGCCGAGTGGAGCGTGAAGCAGCTGCAGCAGCTCCGCGACTCGGGCGCGTGCTCCTACCTCATGGCGCTGCGGGCTCGGCGGGGCGGCAGTGGAGGCTTCGGCGGGTTGGGCCACGGCGACCGGCAGGACAAGCTGCTGCCCATGAAGGTCGAGGCCTTTGCTGGCCAGCGCGTCGTCGCTGTGTCGGCTGGAGATGACTACAGCCTCGCCCTCACAGCCGACGGCGCTATCTGGAGCTGGGGCTTTGGAGACTTTGGCCTTGGCCAGCTGGGCCACGGCGACAATCAGAACCAGCTGCTGCACATGAAGGCCGAGGCCTTCGCTTGGCAGCGCGTCGTCGCTGTGTCGGCTGGAGACCGGCACAGCCTCGCCATCACTGCCGACGGCGCCCTCTGGAGCTGGGGCGGGGGAGCCTTTGGCTGCTTGGGCCACGGCAACGAGCAGAGCCAGCTGCTGCCGAAGAAGGTCGAGGCCCTGGCTGGCCGGCGCGTCGTCGCCTTGTCGGCTGAGCTCGACGCCGACGGCGCTGTCTTTACCTGGGGCGCTGGCGGACTCGGCCGCTTAGGCCACGGAGAGGACCTGTCGAACCAGCTGCTTCCCAAGAAGGTCGAGGCGCCGTCGCGGGAGTGAGAGGGGGCGAGGGGCGCGTGGCTGCGATAGGAGTACGACCGGCTCGGGAGAGGCCAAGTGTTCCGGATAGGGTGGAGGAGCCGGCTGGCCAAGCGTTAGTGCGCTCGCTCCCCACTCCCGTTACCCTGTGTCCCTGATCGTCCTTCCAAAATCCTGCTCGTGCAGGTGGGGACCTGTCCTCCTCCCACAACTCGGCCACATCCCTTCGTTTGTGGGTTCTCTGCACTCTGGAGCACTTGGAGACGAGCTCTGCCTCTGCGTGTGACTTTGCGTGTGTGTTTTCTTGATTCTCTCTCTTTCTTTCAGAGTGCCACACACGCACGGGCCGCCTCACTCTCCCCCCCTCCCCCCCCTCAGACGGTCTGCAGTACACGCGGAACCCCTGTGACTCTGTACAACCGGGGTCGCCTCCCCCCCCAGCCCCCGCTGTGCCTGCCGCGCGCCCGCGCGCGCGCAGCGTGCGCGACGCGGTCTCACTTCTTCTTCTTCGAGCTCCCCTTCTTGGCATCGCCCCCGGCGTCGCCCGCCGCCTGTTCCGCCGGCGCCGCCGCGGCCTCTGGCTCTTCGAACGCCTTTTTCAGCCCGTCGAAGGGCGTCGGCGGAGGCTTCCACGGCCGGGCGAGCGCGCCCTCCGCAGGTTGGCCAAAGAGGTGGACCTGGCTTAGGCTGTGGCTGAGGAGCATGAGCGGGCCGCTGACGCCCTGGATCACGAGCGGGATGGTGTACTCCCACTTGTAGTGCATCAACGGGATCAGCACCATGCTCGCAGCCGACTGCGTAAGCATCTTTTTCCACTCGCGCATGTCATGCTCGGGCAGCGTGATCTCCTCCGTGCGCTTGGGCTTCATCGGTTCCTCGATGGTGACCTTGACCTTGGTCTTGGGGTCCACCGGCATCGCGCTGATCTTGAGGTACAGCGCGCCAAAGCAGCAGACCGTCAGCACCATCCCGGCGCCATAGAAGAGCCGCAGGTACAGCAGACCGGGCGTGCCAGGGCCCACATCAACATCCAAGTACTTCCACCCCATCATCACCACCATCAGGACAATCTGGCTTTTGGGCGGCGTCGGCATCTCGGGCGCTGCATCCTCTCCGGCCATCGCCGCACGCCAAAGGCAGCTCGGGTGCGCGCGGGCAGGGGCGCGCGCTACCCGGTACAAGTGTTTGGCAAAGAAAAACCCGGATTCCGCCGGCGTCGAGGACGGGGAAGACCCTTGCGTTGTCTGTTTTCTTTCTTTCTTTCTTTAGGACGGGGAAGATGACTCCGAGGAGGACGAATCAGTGGAAATCCAGTTGTCAGATGTCACGATGCATCCGAAGGGGACCACCCCCAGCGCCGGCATCATCCGTAGAGGCACGAGTGTTCGAAGAGAGAGTGGACCTGAGCAACGACATGACTTGGAGGCAAATGATCGGAGTGGGAGTCAGAAATGTGGTCCTTGCGCGAGGGGAGCTCGATAGACTCGAGGGGCCAGGATCTGAGGGAGGGTGTAGAGGATGTAGAGTGTAGAGCGCTGTAGAGCTGTAGAGATGTAGAGCGCTCTGGAGCGCTGTAGAGCTGTAGAGCTCTACATCCGCCGCGTGACGAGGCGCCTGCGTTGTAGAGCGATGTAGAGCGCGATTTTGTTGTAGAGTTTGTTGTAGAGGCTCTACAGCCAAACCGCCGGGAAGGCAGTGACTCAAAGAGGTCGAGCCGCGCTAATGGGGTTTTACCGAGCTTAGTGAAGCTCTGATGGACAGCCCTGACTATCCCTGACACACAGAGAGTCCCTCTGACGGCACACAACACCCTATAACTGCGTCATGACCAGCCTGCCATGTGTCGCCGGTGCCGCATTCGTCGCTGTGCTTCTTTAGCAGGCGGTGGACTGTCGGCTGCGAGGACGGTCGCATTTGCGCGAGGCGAGGCGAGCATTCAGACGCCTTATCTGCGCCATGACTCGCGCCAGCGCGTGCGGGAGCTCCTGGCTGAGCGTTGAGTCCAGGCGAGTTGCGCTGGCCACGATCGCTACGCCGAGCCGAGCTGACGCGCCGAGGCGCCGGCCAGTCGCAGCCGTGAGGCATGCCACAGCAGCAGAGGCATCTGCCACCCATTGGGCGGGCAGACAGAAGGCCAGGGCAGCACTGGCAAGTGCAACGCGCCTCATGTCGGAGAGCGACCGTGCCTCGTTCGCCGCTTATGATGTAGAGTTTGTTGTAGAGATTTCACGTTGTAGAGCGCCTCTACATCGCTCTACAACGCAGGCGCCTCGTCACGCGGCGGATGTAGAGCTCTACAGCTCTACAGCGCTCTACATCTCTACAGCTCTACAGTGCTCTACACTCTACATCCTCTACACCCTCCCTCAGGCCAGGATACGCCGCGAGGAGGACGGAGTTGCGCCGAAAGGCGAAAGAAGCCGCGAGAACAAGGGACCGGCAGGCGGCGGCGTCGCAGGACGAGGCAGAAGAGAACGACGCGACAGAGGAGGAAATGACAAGGGAGAGAACGACGAGAGTGGGACGACCGCGAGGTGGCATGAAGGTTGCAGCGAGAAGCGGCGAGAGACTGCGAAGAGAGATAGGAAGAGGCAGACTCCCTAGGGTGGGCGACGGCTAGCGCATCACACACCTCTCCTTAAAATCCCTCTGTGTGGTGGCGGCGTGCCGTCCTCCCATCCCTCCCTTGGGTTGTCCGTTTTCTTTCTTTCTTTTTCTACTCTCAGCGTCCCGCGACAACAAATCATGTTGAGCATGCTGCGTACATCGAGAGTGTTCTGACGCGAAGAACAAAAAAGAAGAATTGTTAAAATACAAGCCTCTCACAGAAAAAGAATGCAGTCCATCAAAGTACAAAGAAAAGAGAAGGTGCCACAGCCTCTTCAACAATCAAGTGTTATTCCGCCATTGCCATGCTCGTCTGGGGGGGGGGGGGGGGTTCCTGGCTGCCACCTGCCTCGCAGTCTCGACCAAACCCATGCCAGAGTGCGCAGGGGCAGGCTCCGGCTCGAAGCCTGACGTCAGCGAGGGCGTGTGCACTATTGATGGCGGCTCGCTAGCTGAAGGCTGGTGGCCCAGCGCTGGCGGCTGAGGTGCGACTGGCACCGCGAGCACAACTGATGTACTGCGCCCGTTTCTCGCGCCAAAAAGGCCGAGGTCTGTGTGCAGATACTTCCGCGTCGGCACATCTGCAGCGACGGGCTGAGGTGCCGTCCGCTCTTTCCTCTTACGCTTTGCACCTCGTTTCGTGCCAGCACCGCTCTTTCCTCCGAGAGATGTTGCCGCCTCGACGAGCACTCGCTTGAGGCCCTTGTAGAGATCGTGGCCTGCAAGCCAGCCAAAGCGCTTGCCAGCCTCCGTCACCGCCTTGGAGAGAAACCGATCAAAATATTGTTGCAGCCTCGCCACGCCGCTCGTCTGACCACCTCGCCTGCCCAGAGAGCGCGACAGCTTCTTGTCGATGCCACCCATGGGGACCACAGTCGGCGCTTGCTGGGCCCCGCACGGACGTACGTTGCAGGCAATCACCCGTTCGTTCCGCGCCCGAAGGGGGAGGCGGCTCACACAAAACACACACACACACATGTCGCTCGCCGCCGCCGTGTCCTTCGTGGAGAAATGCGAGTCCCCCACCGAGCTTGCCAAGCTCAGCGCCGCTGTGGCCGAACGGCAAACGGCTCTGAATCAGAAGAAGCTGGCGCAGTCCGACGCGCCGCTTCCGACTCGCGCCGCCAACCCCTTCCTCCAGGCAGATCGGGCCGGCAGCCAGCAGCGAAAGGTGCAGCCGGACGCGTCGCTCCCTACGCGTGCTGCCAATCCATTCCTACAGGCCGACCGTGCTCGAAACGGCAAGAGCGCCCCTCCAAAGTCCCCAGCGAAAGAGGCTGTCGCCGTGCTGACCGCGGAAGCAGCAGTCGACCAAGTGATGCCCGAGGCGTCCCCGGTCAAGCCAACGGTGTTGAGGAAGCGGCCTTCGGCAATCGAATCTGCTCTCACGCTCGTCGGCCTGCGCGAGGATGACGCGCACCTCGCCGAGCCACCCGACGGCCATGCGCTCAAGAAAGCATGGGCTTCGTTTCTCGCCGCCAACGAGGTGCTCGAGGCGGTCCAGGCGTACGCGGAGCTGCGAGCGGCGTGCCGTGTACCGGCCGAGGCGTTTGGTCAGGCGGCGTTCGATGCGGTGCAGACGGTCACGGCCTCCTCGCCCGTGCCTCACAAGACCAAGTCGCTCATGGTTGCTCTCTCCAACAACCTCAAGAAACGGCCGCCGCCGCCAAAGCCAGAGGACTCTCCTCGCGTAGTCATCTCTGGGGCCGGCCCCGTCGGGCTGCGCGCCGCCGTCGAGGCGGCTCTGATGGGGATGCGCGTGCACGTTGTCGAGAAGCGCGACTCCTTCTCGCGCGTCAACATCCTGCTGCTCTGGCCAATGACCGCCGACGACCTCATGGCGTACGGCGCGAGAACCTTCTACCCCAAGTTTTCCAACAACAATGCGATGCTCCACCTCGGAACACGCGAGATTCAGCTCGTCCTGCTGAAGAACGCGCTGCTCCTCGGCGTGCGCTTCTCCTACGGAACCGAAATGGTCGCCGTGCAGGCGCCTGCGTCGGGCGCGGCGTCCTGGAAGGCTTGGACAACGGAGGCGGCCGCCAAGGACGCGGCGCTAGCTGGCGTGCTCGACTTCAAGAAGCTCAAGATCGGCGCCTACCAGACCGGGACCGGGCAGGGCAAGTGCAACATGGTGCAAAAGTCTGAGCTCGATCCGAGCTTCGCGCTCGACGCCTCCAAGAAGGCGCCAGAGGGCGTGACGCTGCTGCCCTTCGACGCGCTGCTGCTGGCCGAGGGCGAGTGGTCAAACTCGTGCGTGCGGCTGGGGATCGACAAGACGATCGACCGCTTCAGTCAAGCCATCGGTTTCGTCATCAACATGGAGTTTGACCCAAAGGACAAGCTGACGAAGGACACCGTGCTGCGCTCCTTCACCGCGCGACCGTTCGACCCGGCAGGCAAGCGCCTCACCGCGGCCAACATCAAGTTCGAGTTTGCCGAGTACCTCAAGGGAGAGACGCATTACATCGTCGTGACGATCAAGAAGGCGAGCCTGCTCGAGCACAACGCGCTGCGACAGGACCTGCCCGCCTCCGATCTGCTAACTAAGCAGAACCTCGACGTCGAGGCGCTGATGGTGCTCGCGCGCAAGATTGCCACCTGCATCGGCCTGCCGGAGCACACGCAGTTCTGCGACTTCCACCCCGCCAAGCTCTTCGACTTCTCGACGCGCGCGCGCTGCCTCGCCGGCTTCCGCGTGCTCGCGGTCCAGCGCGACGGCACCGTCACCGGCTCGGGCCTCGAGACGCACCCGTACCTCCGAGAGGCGGAGACCAAGTACTATGAGCGGGCGGCGGTGCAGGCGGAGGAGGAGGTCACCAAGCGGAAGAAGGAGATGGTGGAGCTGCGCAAGTCAATTGAGGCGGTCGAGGCGGCGATCGCAAAGGGCGGCTGCCTCGGCGACATGAATGAGGCGCAGACGCAGGAGTTCCTCAAGGCGCAGCTCGAGGGGCAGCAGAGGTCGGTCGGGGAGCTCGAAAAGAAGACCTCGGTCAACGAAGCGAGCGCGACCACTGCGCGAGAGCGGCAGCGCGAATGGCTCGCAGCCGTCTCAGCCTTCTCGGCCGGCGGCTCCTCGCTCGTGCCGGTGCTTCCCATTGGCGACTCGATGCTCGAGCCATTCTGGTGCGCCGCGCGTGCCGCGACACCCCCGTGCGACCGTGGGGGATGTGCGGACTCAGCCGCGCTGCTGGCTGCACCTCCGTAGGCCGCAGGGCCTCGGCTCGAACCGCGGCTTCCATACCGCGCTTGATGCAGTGTGGGCGGTGCAAGTGATGAAGTCGGAGGGGCTCGAGGCGGCGCTGCTCGAGCGCTCCTTTTGGTACGATCTCATGCTGCAGGCGACATGGAACAACGGGCTACTGCGACCGGCGGACGGCTGGTCCGCCGACCCGGCGACGCGCTACGAGGGCAAGGCCGTCGTACAACAGAAGGAGATTTACTCCAACCCAACCTCGAAGCGGCTCTTCCGCGGGAGTGGGGCCACGCCGGAGCGCCTCCTGCACGCCGTCTCCTAGCTTGCACTAGGGGTCGGGAGGGGTCGCAAAACAAATAAAATCGCCGTCCCCAAAAACAACTAAATTCCCCTTCGACAAAAATCCTGAGAATGCTCGAGCTCCTGACTCGCTGACGCTGCGAGCGTTGCCCTCCTCGGGCGCGACGCACACTCGGCGATGCGGTCCAGGACTTCGACCACGGCCACTCATCATCATCTCTTCCCACCGACTTCGGAGAGAGAGAGAGAGAGAGAGAGAAAGAGAGATTTAGCAAAGTTCCGACTTCGGCGCATGAGATCGCGTCGATCGCAGACCGTTCAACCGGCAGGGAGGGCTGCGGAGGCTGTTTTGCTGACGCTCAGTTCGGGCGGCGGGGCAGCTGAAGGACGGCACCCGACCCAGCCAGACCCAGCAAACCTTTGCCTCCTAGATGCCCCCCCTCACTTCATACCGAAGCTGCTGCGTCTGGTGCGACTCAACTTCGCATCCAAGCCCCTGGAGTCGGCGTCTTGCGCGCCTTTTCTCGCGCGGAGCTGGTGAGATGTCGAGAGGAGCCGTGGCTCGCCGCACCCGTCGCCTTGACCGACTTGATCATCTGACAACGGTGCGGGCATGCAGCACGCAGCCCGTGGCTCAGCCGCCGGCTGTGGAGACGGTATACGGGCTGTTTATCAGGCGTCATCGCTCGCTTGCAAGCTGACACCACGCGGGAAGCCCGCCTCCAGAATATGGGGCGGCGGGGTTCACTCCCCGGTGGGTCTGGGCAGCTGACAACCTCCTCGAGCACGCCAGAAGGTGACACCCGCCCGCCCCCATCCACAACTTAAGGCCAAAACCACCCCAGCTGCGAGTATTCACGCCGCCCTCCCTGCCACCTCAGGCGGCTTGTTCTCAAGCGGGCAACCATCGACGACACGGACTGGGCGACCAGCTTCGCGGGCCTCGCTGTGAGCTTCATTGGCACCGCCGATGGCATCGCCGACCCTCGCAGCGCCTCACCACGGACGCTCGGACGGCGCATATGACGGGGTGCGCATAGACGCCCGCGAGCTCGTCCTACCCTCGCCGCGCCACCGTCACCTCCACCCTCCCCACGGACGCCCTTTGGCCGCCCTCGCGCCGCCGCGGCTCGAACCCGCTGCCGCTGCCATTCTCGCCCTCACACTCCTCGCTGCCTCCCGATCGCCGCCGCCGCCACCACCTTCCTCCGGCATGCCGCCGCTCTCACCCTCGCCTCCAGCCGCCCCGCCCCGTCACCCCGCCACCCCCCCCGCCGCCACCACCCCGCCGTCTCCACTCTCGCCGCCGCTGCCGCCGCCGCCTCCCCAGCCGCCGCCACCGTTGCCGCCACCCTCGTTTCCACCGCCTTCGTCGCGCTCCACGCCACCGCCAAGATCGACGCCCCTGCACCACGGCCGGTAGTGGGCCGTGAGTGGCCAGGTGCTGCCCCCCCAGTACGCCCCCCGCATGCTGGGTGGGTAGACAGCGGTAGCTCTGCAGGGCAAGGCTCTCTGTAGGCCCTTGCCGGGTGGTTATGGCTCCCGCGGGCGCTGTCGAGAAAAAATCGAGAATTTGCGAGATCGCACGTCCGGTTGGCCGTTATTTTTGTGAGTCGTGGCGCTGCCCGTGTGTTCGAAGCATGTAAGATGATGCGTGGAGATCATACTCGAGATCTCTGCGGGACAGGCCAGTAGATTTGTTGAGTGGAGATCGTAGATGCCGATCAGAGATCTTCCCCACACACAGCATCTCTCACAAAACTCAGAGATTTTTAACTGATGATAGAGATCTTGAGCTGCCGCTCGGCACCTCGAGCTCAGGCCGGAGACGGAGATGTTGACTTCGCGCCAAAGGCGCCTCGAGAATCGTGTGGCCGACTGGAGATTGCATAATGGCGCGAAAAGAGGGGTGGAGATCCACTTGAAGGTGTGAAAGGAAAAGAGCATCCCCTTGGAAGGACGTCGATCCCCCCCCTGACACGCCTCCCCCACACGAGATTGGAGATTGGAGATCGGAGATGAAGATCGGAGAACGCGCCTCCATCGTTGTGATGAGCGCGCCGCGATGGAGCTCACCTCGTTCGTCTCTGGCATGACCGAGTTCGCCGCGAACCTGTATCCTCTAAAGACCGAGGAGGAGCTCGTGGCGCTCCTGAGCGGCATGCACCACTTCCCACCTGGCGTGCCTGAGCGTGCCCGTCGCGTCCATGAGCGGCTGGCCCTGCCCGCCGGGTCGGCACTCTGCTCCTCTGACGTCGGCGTGCTGATTGACCGGCTCGACACGGAGGGAGGCCTTGGCGGGTTGTACAAGCATCTCGCGCACACCAAGGAGGACCCTCTACATTTCGTTCCGAGCACCAACACGGAGGCCGCGGAGCAGGCGTGTCGAGCCGCCCTCTCGCCCTGCACGCGTTGCCCCCTTGCCACATGTACATGTAGCATGTGCATGTGCATGTGCAAATCCGCCTGCATAGGCCTTCGTCTTTCTCGCTCGCTCGAAGCACATCTTCCGCCACAACGTGCCACATGATGAATGAGCCCCCCCCCCCCCCCCCTCACGCAAAATTATTTGTTGATGGCAGCGCGCGAACCGCACGACAACGCCCCCAGTTCGGCGTACATGGACCGCGCGCGCAGCGCGCTCCGTGTTTGCATACCGCCCTGGCGGATTCGTTTACACTTCCTAGCTCAAGCCAGGCGCCGCAGGCCATAAAGAGGAGCGCAGATTAAAATGGCGCCGCAGGCTCCCCGGGCCATCCGCGCACGGCAGTAACCTTTAAAAAACAAAAAGATCATCACAGCGGCCTCTGTGATCTCCAATCTCCAATCTCCAATCTCCAATCTCCAGCGTCGACACATCTTAGGCCGGATCCAGTCAGATCCCCAATCTCTATCTCCAATCTCCAATCTCCAGCACCAGCGTCATATTTTGCCGGATCCAGTTTAGATCTCCGATCTCCATCTCCAATCTCCAATCTCCAATCTCGATTCGGGGGGCCGGGGGAGGGGGGGGGGGCTCGAACCTTCAAGGAGATGCGCTATGGATTCATTCACACCCACATCTCCGATCTCCGATCTCCAATCTCCCATTTGACCCCTGCCGCCGCCAGCTGCGATCTCCAATCTCCAATCTCGATCTCCAATCTCCGCCCCAGTGGTGGATGCCCGGCGCGAGGATCTACGATCTGTGTTCTCCATCTCCAATCTCCACCTTTGACCCTGGCAACTGCCAACACGATCCACAATCTGTGATCTCAATCTTTCATCTTCAACCAAGCCCGACTGTGTGGTAGAATCGGCTAGGATCTCCACTCCTGGTCTGCGATCTACTGTCTGCGATCTAGGCTACTCTCTCGCAGAGATCTCGATTGCTTGTGGAGAGCAAAAAAGCGTGCACACGGGCTATTCTGGCCGACCCCAAATCTCCCCTCCCGACCCCTACTTGCACGATTTTGCTTCACGCCACCTCCACGACGAACGACCTCGCACCTGCCACGAGCCCACGACCTGCCAGCGCCCGCGCCCCGTAGCGCTGAAACCAGTCCACTGCGCTCCGCCGGATGCGTTTGGTTAATTAGCGCCTCGACACCGGGCCTCGACGCCTCGTCCTCGACCTTAAAGGGGCTCGGGCCTCGGCAGCTGCCAGCTCCGCCCCCACTGCCAGCCCCACCCCCTTCAGCGAGGACCTTTGAGGCCCTCCCCAGTCTCACCCCACCTTACCTCTGCCCCCCCCTCCCCCCATCCCTCTGCCTCCCATAGGGCAGGATAGCACTAGCATATGCGCCTAGTGCGCACTGGGCCCACATAGATGTGACCCGCCCGCTCGAGTGCGGCGTCCGGATGCTAGTGCTTGAGAAGACACCACAAACGCGGCACGGCCCGTTTTGGATGTCTGCGGAGATTCTGTCTTAGCACACACAGTGAGTCATTCGGAGTCATTCGATGGCCAGAGTGCGATTGTGTGTGTGCGGGAGTTGGTTTGTCGGGAGGGAGGGGCAGGCTGCTCACCCACGTGCACCGGGCCAGTGCTTGCACTTTGAATGCCGTGGGGCTCCTGCCCGTGTCCGGGCGTGGAGATGCGAGGGTCGCCCCCCCTTGCCCCACCACTTTGTGTGTGTGGAGAAATCTACCTTACTGGGCTGGGTTTTTAGGCATTGTGGGGTTGGCACTCCCATCGACCCTCATGACCTCCTGCGGTCTCTGAGATGGACACCAGTGGGTGTGGGACCACAGCCAGGATACACTCGAAGGCTGGGTAAGCAGTAGAGGTCGATACTCGACGCGTCCCACATGGTATGTGTCGCTGTCGGCACGCTGTCGACAGGACGTCGAGCGACACCGGTGGCAGTGCCACCCAGGAGTGGTCGGGCGGTCTCCCGTCATGAGAGAGTCACCATGTGATCCGTATGATGATTCCTGACAACCGCCTCAGTCAACTTTCGTCACAGTTCCCGCTCTGAGAGGAGCTGCGGGTCAGTTTGACAGCTGGAGCTGTGTCGCCGGCGTGCGGCGGCCTGCCTCCGGAGGTGCCTCTGAGGTGGACATTTTTTGGTCACCGTGAGAGAACGCGTTCGAATTTTTACTCCGGAACTTCAACTCCACACGCGCACCGGCCAGGGCTACAATAGTGCCAGTGAGGCGAAGGCGCGAGTCGGAAGGCCGCGACCGTGATTTGGTTTCGACATTTTCCTACAATCGCTGTGAACCCAGCCACGTACCTTACCTACTTACCCAGCGCACACCCAGACCGCAGGGCCAGGGGCGCCAGGCGGCCCCCCTGCCCCCACCCCCAGGCGGACGCGGAATCTGTATCTGATTTTTCAAACATTTTTTTCTACAGGAAGGGTTGTGGTAGCGGAGACTCTAGCACCGAGTGCTCCACGCCGCGTCACGAACGTGCGCGCACGCACACAAAGTGAGGCGTCCCCTCCCCACACACCGAACCGCTCGAACCGCCTCTCCTCCCCCCCCCCCCCCTCCCCCCACACGCGCTAGCACGCCCTTTAGGACGCAAAACCGGGCAGGTGGAAGTTGGCGGCGAAGGGCGCCATCGGATCGCCCGCGTAGTGCGCAATGTTGCTCAGGGCGGGCACTGCGCCCGGCACGCGCGCCTATGGACAAGTCTCGGACATGTCGTGGACGTGCCCGAATGCCCGAGAAGAGCTGGCTCGCGCGCCTCGGCGCAGAAGCCCATGATGCCAATCATCGCGAGGCGACCGTTGTTTACCTCCTTGAGGAGGCCGTCCGCCTGTGGCATCACCGCCATCACAGTGACTGGGCAGCGGCAGCAGCTGTCGCCAGCCTCTGTGGGAGGGCCGGCCGCCTTCCGCTCGGCCGAGGCGCCCTTGTACGCCTTGAGCGGATCCCACAGGTTGAGCGGCACCTGCCGGTCGGGCGGCGGGGGAGGACGGGGGGTGGGCGGGGAGGGGGGGGGGGGGGGGCCCTGGCAACCGTTGTAAACAATTCTTCCCCCCCGCCGCCCCCCCCCCCTTCTCTCCCCGGCACCCCATCTCCTCTCCCTGCCCCACACACATCTCCGCAGCAGTCTCAGCAGCAGCAGCAGCGGGCCTCTCGGGCTGTCGTCTCGCGGGCTGTCGTAGGGTTAGGGTTAGGGTTAGGGTTAGGGTTAGGTCTCACCGGGTGGACCATCGTGTCGAAGTCGGGGAAGAAGCCGGGCTTGCCTCCCTTCATGTAGTGCTTCTGGCCGTACTTCTCGAGGATGAAGGAGTGCTCCGAGTACACCTCCAGGAATCCCACGAAGAGGATGATCTGCCACTTTGCGGCCTGCGGCGGGGAGGGCGGGGCCCCGCAGTTGGCGGCGAGGCAGGCCACGGCAGGCCTTGGCAGGCGAGGGGCGGTGCGAGGGGCGGAGCGTCGAGGCGGGCGCTCGCCTCCGGCAGCTGCGCCCACTGCTCCGCCGGCGCGATGTTGGTCGGGATCGAGTTGAACGGCGCCCACGGGAAGTGGACGTTGGACTGGACGCAGTAGCCGACAAACGCCGCCATCGCGACGCGGCCGTGCTTGATCTCGGCGTGGCGGAGGAAGCCGACGGTGGCGTCGTCGCCCGCGCCCCAGAAGTTGAGCTCCGCTGCGAGGGAGGCGGCAGGGGTCGGCACAGCGAGCCGCGAGGCGAGGCGGGAGGCAGGCGGGCGGCGGGCGGGCGGGCGGCGGCGGCGGCAGGCGGGAGGCGGCACCGAGGTTGAGCGGGTCCCAGTAGCCGAGCACCGGGCTGCGGGGTGGGGGCGGGAGGAGGAGCAGGAGTGAGGCTAGCGGCCGGCGCGGCGACTGCAGCAGAGAGTGCAGCAGAGCACAGCAGGCTCCGAGGCGCCGGGCGCGGGGCGCGAGGGCGCACTTGAGCTTTTTGGAGAGCTCCGGGAGCGCGGACATCGCGGGCGCGCTGGCGCGGGCCAGCGGCGCCGCGGCGGCGCCGGCGAAGCTCAGCGGCGTGGACACAGCGGCGGCGAGCATGAGAGATGCGAGAGCGACAGTAATTGGTCGGCAGCAGCAGGCGAGCGGAAGAAATCTGTTCTCCGCGCCGTGGCCATCGGAGCGCTGCCCGCACTCACGGACTCCATACCCGAAAGAAAGAGAGGCGAGCTCGCGGGAGAGGTGACGAGTGAACTACAGGTAGTGGGGAAGGCAGCCTCGATTGCCATACAGACATGGGTGCGAAACAACGACAAGACCAAGGCACGCACGGGCAGAGGAACGAGAGAAGAATATAGAGTGGATAAAGCGCCTGTTCACGGCATGGAGGGTGAGCCACGCTGAACGCAAGGAAGCCGGGGAAGACGACTCCGAGGTGGACGAAACACCTGTGGTAATCCCGTCGTCAAGCTGTCACGATACACCCAGAGCCCATTCTCATCAGCCCTGCCCCGCAGCGCGGCCGCTCGCCAAGCCCCGCAGATGAGTGGTCAGATGGATAGTGCCAGAGAGTGAGGGGTCCAGGGGGGAGCACAAATAGGACGCCCAGCCCTGCCCTCGTGCTGCCGAGTGCACATATCCTATGCGAGAGAGATCCCCTGTGCCCTGTGCCCAGCCCTCTCCGCGCGGCGATGAGCCCTCCCCCCTCGCTTTTGCAAAATCCTGCAAAGGTGGGACGTGTCTGTCCTCGACCCAGCCCTAGTAGCTTGGGATGTCCGTTTTATTTATTTATTTATGAATCCTAAGCGCGCTTTCATGATCTGTACGACCGTTCCTCCGGCTTCTCACTGGCAGTCTCTCACTATCACGGGCACACTGACAGAGGCGGCCAAAAGGCTCACGTGGGTGGCAGGGCGGTGATAGGAGTCTCCCACTCTGTGGGCTTCGCTAGAGGTGCGGCCCCTGCGCGTGTCCTCGCCCTTGCGGTCTTGAAGGGGAAGGGGAAGGGGCTGTGTGTCTGTGTGTGTGTGTGTGTGTGTGTGTGTGTGTGTGTGTGTGTGTGTGTGTGTGTGTGTGTGTGTGTGTGTGTGTGTGTGTGTGTGTGTGTGTGTGTGTGTGTGTGTGTGTGTGTGTGTGTGTGTGTGTGTGTGTGTGTGTGTGTGCCTGCGGGCGCTGTGCGAGCCCCCTGAACGACCACAATGTTGAGCGCGCTCGAGCACCGAAGCACCGCGAGCGCCGGCGAGCACCACCGCCTCGCGCCTTGGCGTGCGCCCATAATTTTTTTATTTTTTGCGAGGCTGGGTTTTCCCGCTTTTTCCCAATGGCAAGCATGGCATGAGCGGCGCCGTTAGCCCGTCCCTGCTGCCCGAGCTGGCGGTAGGCGACTTAGGCTCGCTGCTGGCCGTCATCTCCGGGCGGCGGACGCACGGGAGGCTCGACGCGCGGCTCGACACCGAGAGGCAGGACACGCTGCTCACCTGGGCCGCTGGGCACGGGCAGGCCGAGGCGGTGCGGCTGCTGATAGAAGCCGGCGCGAGCGTCGGGGCGACGGACGGCACCGGCCGCGCCGCGCTGTTCATCGCGTGCTTCGAAGGCTACCTCGAGTGCGCCCGGCTGCTCCAGCAGGCTGGCGCAGCAGTCAACCAAGCCGTGAGCGGCGGCTTCACTCCGCTGTTTGTCGCGTGCCAGAACAACCGTCTCGAGTGTGCCCGGCTGCTCCTCGAGGCCAGCGCGGCGATCAACCAAGCTGCAGCGGACGGCGTCACACCTCTGTTCATTGCGTGCCAGAAGGGCAACCTCGAAATCGCCCGGCTGCTCCTCGAGGCCAACGCGGCGGTCGATCAGGCCAGCAACATCGGCGCCACGCCGCTCTCTATCGCGTGCCAGAAGGGCCATGTTGACATCGCCCGGCTGCTGCGCGACGCTGGCGCGGCCGTCAACCAAGCAAACAACAACGGCTCCACGCCGCTGTTCATGGCATGCCAAAAGGGTCACGTCGACATCGTCCGGCTGCTCCTTGAGACCGGCGCTTCGGTTAGCCAAGCCAGCGCCAGAGGCACCACGCCACTGTTCATGGCGTGCCAGAACGGCCACGTCGAGTGCGCCCTGCTGCTTCTCGACGCCGGCTCTTCGGTCAACCAAGCCCAGATCCAAGGCGCCACGCCGCTGCACGTGGCGTGCCAGAACAACCACCTCGGCATCGCCCAGCTGCTTCTCGAGGCCAGCGCGGCGATCAACCAAACCGACGAGCAAGGCGCCACGCCGTTATTCATGGCGTGCCACCAGGGCAACCTCGAGGTCGCCAAGCTCCTCTCCTCCTACGGCGCCTCCCGCGCCGCGGTTCCGCCCCTCGGCACGCCCGAGGAGGCCGCGAACCGCGAAGGCCACGCCGACCTCGCCGCCTGGCTGGTCGCCGGCCGCGGCTGGACGCCGCTCCAGCACCTCGAGGCGTGCCCCCAGACTGGCGGCTGAAGAAGCGTGAGTGCATTGTCCTCACGCTCACTGTCCCTCTTCCCGCAGGCGCTCACCGTCGACCGGGCGCGGGCGCTGCTGCGAGGAGGCGCGGACTCTTCAGCCGGCGAGCCGTCGGCCCTCGAGCGGGCGCGCGTCCTCTGCTCGTGGGGCGAGTCGGATCCGACCGCTGCGGCCGTCGGCTCCACAGTCGCGGTCCACTCTCTGGTCTCGCGGCCCTCGTGATGTTTCACTTCAGCGCGACGACCAACACACAGACATCCAAAAACATAAACAGACTAGAGACGGGGTGCAAAATGAATCACACTGTGAGAGAGACGCGTGGGACGCGAGCCATTAATGTGCACCTAGGCTAACAACACGCTACACCGCCGCGACGATCAGGCTCACACTGTCCTCCCGATTCGAGCCGCGCAGCGACAAGCTGCACGGAGGAGATGTGTGCAGTCGGGTGGCTAAAGTATGGCGCCGCCGCCGATACCACTGCCGGGCACCGTTCCCGATGCCGCCGCCGGTGCCCACGGATGACGTGGCGGCGGCAGCGGCGGTGACGACGATAACGGCGGCGGCGGTGGTCGCCGGAACCACCTCGGTGCTCACAGCCGCCGAGAGGTGCCGCCGAGAGGTCCATTCCTCGATCTGCCGCAGGCCCGCGGTGTCAGGCTTGTCGCGCCACCCAGCGCCCTTCTGCGCGGTGGAGGCGCAGCATGAGCGGTGGCGGGGCGTCTGTGGCGCGGAGCCGCACAATCAGTGGCGGATCGCTATTCGTGGGTTGAGTGTAGTCGGGTGGCGTCGCATACCTTCCTTCAGGCGTCGCGAAGCCACACCTCTCGTGATCAGCTCTTCCTGCGGCGTGACGCGGCATCCCGGTCGTGGCACCGCTGGCGTGCGCGGGGAGCGAAGGGTGGTGGTGGAGCGCGCACATCTGGGTAGGAATCCTCGAACAGTCCAGAGCCAGGCAGCCGCGTCCAGGACATGGCGAGAAAGAAGAATTTTGCTGCCGAAGAATTTACGCAACCCAATGAGAAAGAGAATTCTCGACCATCCACAAAGAAGAATTCGAGGGCAACCGGAGGACCGGGAAGTACGCACAGCTGGACTACGACGAGAGCCGGCGGAGGGGAGGGGCGAGCCGAGAAGGAAAGAGAGGCCGCGGGTGCGGGCGCGACTCGTCGACCAGGGAGAGCGGGCCCGACCTCCCTGGGAGGGGGAGCGACGCGACCCAATGCCGCCGTCCTCGCCCGGGGAAACTTCAGCAGGGCAGCCGACGCTCTCGGAGGCGGCAGAACCAATCGGAGGTGAAGCGGAGGCGAGGCCTCGGCCAAAGAAGAGACATCAGAAACGGCTACAGCGGCCGTCAGGCGACGCTCGGCTGGCGAATAAAAGAGCGAATCAGGGAGAACCGGAGCCCCGGGTAGGCTGGCGGTGGAACCCCGGGACGGGATGCTGAGTGAGGACCTGTGTACGTGCGTGGTGTACAGTGTCGTCTACTAGCTCCGAGTAGAGGGGGCGTTCTGAAGTAAAGGGGAAACCCGGTACACGGAACCAACCCTCGGAGACCCGTGTTTACTTTATGGCCCTTTCCCTGCGAACGCGCACCCCCAGGGCTAGGGCTCTCTTGCCCGCAACCCGATGCCAATCATCCGGCCCGCTGGGTTGCGCTTCTTAGCTCCCCGGCCCTTGGATGTGCGGTTAATGACTGCACTCCAACTGCTCCCCAAGTGCTCCGACACGAGTTGTCTGTTTTCTTCCTTTCTTTCTTTACTGGCGCGCACTGGCACTAACTCAGTAACACCACGGTGAGGTGAAGAGAAGAAAGAAAATAACGCCGGGGCCAGACCTTCCTCACCCATCTCGTCTCAGAGTTTGCCCGTTTTATTTATTTATTCCCTCACCAAGATCGTGCAGTGGGCGGCCGCAGGGCGGGGACAATGTCCGTTTTATGTCCCGCTAAAATCCCATCTCGTCTCACAGAGTTTGACCCTTTTATTTATTTATTTATTTATTTCACGCAAACTTCAGAGGGAAAAGTGCGTGCGCGCGCAGAGCGCCCGGGGCGAGGAGATTGTTCTCCGCTGCCGGTCTCCCCCAAGCGCCGCTATGTGACGGCATCGTTGAGCACGCACTGGCCGGGCCGAAACCGCGGCGGTGGGGGCGTGCGCAAGCACCACTCCCCGTGCCCGCGCGGCGAGCCCGTCTGCTCCGGCGTGAGCCACTTTGCGAGGTTGGAGGGGCAGCCCTCGCGCTTCGCGCAGCGGGCGCACCACGCTGGCGCGCGCAGCAGCGGCTGCGCGAAGTGATTGAACTCCCGCGTCGCCGCCGGCCGCCCCCCGACGCCGCAGAGCAGGCCGCGCGCGTGCGGAAGCCGCAGCAGCGCTGCGCCACCGTTCCGCCCTCCTAGCAGCTTCGCCGCCTCGACCGCGGTGGCGCCGAGCGGAAGGAGAGTCGCGCCGCCGCCCGCCGCCGCCGCCGTGTCGTAGGCGCTGCGCTCGAGCAGCTGCACGTCGACGGCGGCCTGCTCGCAGCAGAGGCGCGTGAGGAGACGCCGTTCACGGTCGTCGAGCAGCGGCGGCCCGGCGGCCGCCGCGGTCAGCTCGGGCGAGAGGCGCGGCGAGGAGAGGAAAGAGCCGTCGCGGTAGTCGACCTCCGCCTTTGCCCAGGCGGCGGGCGAGAGGACGTGGTCCATCGGGCAGGCGAAGGGGAGGAAGGGCGCGTCCTGCGAGCCGGGGTACATGAAGCCCATGCCTGAGGCGGGGCGCGTGCGGCGTGTGCGGCGGGGAAGGGCGGGGCGGGGAGGGAGGAGGGGCGAGGCGGAGGAGGGGCCAACACCCTCCGCGCCCGATTTGAGCTCGCGGGCGCGGGCGTGGGCGTGGGGTGGCGGGGGCGCGGGGTGGCGGGGGCGGGCGGGGTTGGGCGAGGGCGGGCGTGTGGCGGGCGTGTGGCGGGTGTGGCGGGCGTGTGGCGGGCGTTGACCGATGATGTTGTCGCTCCCCGCCCAGAGCTTGTCGACGTAGCAGGTCCAGCGCGGCAGCACGAGGGTGCGGCGGAGGGCGCGCGCGAGGGCGAGCGCGTCGCGTAGCTCGGCCAAGTAGCCGCGCAGCGCCGCCGCGTGCACGCCTGTGAGGCGCTCACTCATGCTAGTCACCTCACGAGTCCTCGGCGGGCAGGTGTGGTTGGGCGCCGCACGTGGCGCGTCGCCTTCCCCCGGTTAGGGTGTGTCGGACTGGGTTCTCCTGGGATATGTCTCTCCTCTCAGTGTGAAGTGAGTCTGTGAGCGTGAGACGCGCACGCCGATGTGGTTCGGTGACTGGCCGGCGCTGCGTGCCGCCCCGAGGGCGGCGGCGACGGCGGGCGGGACCGAGGCGTTGAGGGCGAGGAACCGTCCGCGAAAGTACTCCTCTCCGTCGGCGAGCCAGAGGCCAGCCTCGCGGAAGCGCTGCCTGTTCACAGCTAGAGGTGTGACCTGGACGCCGTTCACAGAGGCCAGCCTCGCGGAAGCGCTTCCTAAGTGTGTGGACGGCGGCGCGTCGAGGGCGGCGGACGCCTCTGTGCGTGTCGACTCTCCCGTCCCGCGGGCGGGCGAGTAGTAGTAGTACTAGTCTAGTAAGCGGCGGGGGAAGCGGCGGAGGCGGAGGCTGCTGCCGCGGCTGCTGTTACGTCGGAGGCACCGTCGGCGGCGGCCAGGGCCTTGCTCGTGGGTTCTGGCAGCACTGGATCGCATGGCACAACTACTACTACTACTACTACTACTACTAGTACTACTACTATTACTATTACTACTCCTACTACTCCTACTCCTACTCCTACTCCTCCTCCTACTCCTACTACTACTGCTACTACTACTGCTACTACTGCGCGCGCCGCTTGGCGACGCCGTCGTGGTTGTCCAGCGAGTAGGTTGCGTGCACCTGTGCACAGCGCCTCTTCACGGCTCAAGCCGCGAAGCACGAGGCGCGGTCGGGCGAGCAGGCTGCGTGCACCGCAAAGGGCGACACCTGCGGCGCCAAGGGGGGCAAGGGGGCAGGGTCAAGGGCTGGCGAAGGGTGGTGTGTGTTGTTGCTCCTGCTGCTGCGCTGCGGTGGGACCGACGCCTGCAGCGATCGGTGCGCCGCCTGCTCACAGTATCGGATGGTCACAACAGGAACGGCTTGCTTGCGCCACTCTGCAGCGGCCGGGGCGCTGGCCTGCACAAAGTAGCCGTGTCCATTCATGAAGAGCGGCAGCGGCAGAGCGCCGAGCGAGAGATTGCCGTCCCAGTCCTGCAAAGCGAGGCGCCGCGGTGAGTGCGCGCAAGCGCTACGAGCCGCGGCCCCCTCCCCCCTCCCTCCCCCGCGCCTCGTGCAGCCGCCGCATGATCCACTCGCCGCGCCGCCCGCCCACGCCGGGCCACTGCCGCTCCCTCCGCACCATAGCATTGAAGACCTGCCACCAACTCAGGCGTGGAATGGCACCAGACGACCACACCATGCTAGTGGCTAGCGCCTCTCGGGCAAATGGTCAAGATTGCGCGAAGCGGACTATGCACGCCACATATTAGATACGACCGCCCGCCCCTCGCGCTGCAGACACCTGCGCGTCGGACCTCGGCGTGAAGCCGCGTCTCTTCACACCTGGAGCGGTGAAGGCGGAGCAGGTCGCAGCTCGCCTGCTGGTCGGACGTCTTGCCCCAGAAGCGCGATCCGCGCTCGGGAGAGGCGACATTGCGGTGCCACTGCGCGGCGAAGTGCCGGCCGGCGGCGGTGGCGCGGAAGAGAAGTAGGCCCGAGTTGAAGGTGCCTGCCCTCGCGCGGGAGTGAGTGCAGTTGTGAGGAGAGGACGCCGCGCCTCGGGAGGGCCCGGCGAGCAGCTGCGGCCGCCTGCTCCGTGGGAGGCGTCTACAGAGCTGTCTACCGTCGCTGCGGATTCTTTTTTCTGTCTACACTACAGCGCCTGCTCCGTGGTAGGCGGCGCCGCCCGCGACGGACCTGCTAGGAGGGAGGGCTGGTCGGGAGCAGCTCGGGCGGCATTGACCACGATGGCACCCTCACACGGACGGACGGGAGGGTGGGGAGAGAGAGGGGCCAGCAGGCGCCCGAAGAGTCCGAGGGGCGTGGCGCGGCGAGCGCGCTGTCTCGGAGTCTCGGAGGAGTACGGGCGACGTTTGCGCCTCTCCGCCCTCACGCGTATACCTGCTAGGTTCCATACCTGCTAGGCCCCATATTGTCCGACGAGACCGCGACGTCGGCGGCGCGCAGCGCAGAGCACGGGAAGCGCGAGGCGTCTCCAAACTCGGCGCGCGCGGCGGCGGTGCACATGCAGAAGGGCGCCTGCAGGAGGAGGAGCTCTCCTTGAAACCTTCTTGGAGCCTTTGACTGGCGGTGCATGTGAGGAGGGCGCCGGGTCTCGCAGCAGAACAACGTCCGTGTCGATGTGAAGCACGTCGAGGCCGGTGGCGACAACCCGGGCGACCTCTCCCGTCCGCATGGCGGCAAAGGCCTTCCACGAGCCCGACGAGTGGCTGTTAGCCCCGTCGAGCGAGTAGCCGGTCGCCAGCGCGAGCGGTGTCTTGTAGCACGGCGAGCCGCTCTCCCTGAGCAGCTCAAAGGCGCCCACGTCGACAGCGCCGACCACGTGCGCCGCGCCCGCCCGCCGGGCATGCGCGCAAAAGTTGCGGAGCAGTTCCGAAAAGGCGGCGTTGCCAAACGTCAGGAGCACGAAGCGGAGGCCGCGCATGGCCGGCGCGGCGGCGTCGAGCGCCGCCTCGAGCGTGCCGTCGAGGCCCATCGACACCCTGCGGCCGGCGCTGGCGTACAAACTGGCTGCCCAAAGAAAACCCCCGCCCCCAAATAGTTGGACGCTCTGGTGTGTGTGTGTGTCATCATCTGTCCAGCGTCCACCCATACCGCGTTGGTGTCCAGTCCGAGCCTGGCTGTTCTTCACCTTTCTACCTACCTACCTACCTGTGTGTGTGTGCACTCACACGACGCTCTGGGGACGCGCGCCGCAAAACCAATCCATTGGAAGGGGGCTACTGGGGCGGCCAAATTCACACCTCGCGGGACTACTTATGTTTTCGTAAACGCTGTCGGAGGCGATCCCCAAGGCGGGTCCATATGGGGGGTTCGGTGTTGTGCCAAGCGGTACACACCTTTCGGTACACTCGGGCCCGCCGCGCGCGGGGCCCTCGATTACCCACCGGTCCACTCACCGCCGCAAGAAGAATTCTTCTATTCACGACTCGGAACACGAATGTGACAGGACCATCGGGTCCTTCAGCCACCAAATTAGGCTGTATATACGACATCGCGTGGCGGGTAAGCAGAGTAGAGGAGAGGCCCGAGAGGCCCCTATTTCTCGTCGGCCCAGCCGGCACGCGCTCACGGGCGCGCTGTGACGGATGCTGGCCGTGTGCGCGCGTGGCAAGGGCGGCAGCCAAGGCGGCAGCCGCTCCAAGCTCCTCTAGGTCACACCGCGGGCGAGCGCGTTGGGAGCGGCGGGCGAGGCGTCTCGTGGATTCACACTGGGGTGGAGTGGCGTCGGGTGTATAACGCACGCCTGGGCGTGGACGCGCCTGCACAAGGCAAAACAAGAATTCACGCGAAACATTGGATTGGGGCATGCAAGCATGCACAGGGCGAGACGAGGGAACCGTACACAGTAAGTAACTCCAGCCGACCCCGTAAGCGCAACCTCCGCTCGCGGTCCGGAGGCTTCGAACTTGTCAACACAAAGAAAATTCCTTTCTCCAAGTGCTCAGTTTTCTCTCTATATATAGTGTAATCCGGCTTGTCGCACCGCCGATATGGCCTCTCGCTACTGGCCAATCGTCGCATAGTCCACAGAACGGCGGCCGTACAAATGTCTAGAGCCGTAAGTCTCAAAATACACATATGCATACAACACATCTAGCAACAAATACAACGCTGGGTGTCAGGGAGCCCCATCACTCGGCTCGGCTACGGCGGTACGCGTACAGAGGCGGTCAGGACGCTCTAAAAGTGTTCAGGTGTGGGCATCTCAGCAGGATATCCGATACACTGTATGATGGATCGCATCTACTTGCCGCGCAGGAGCTGCTGCCATTTCTACTTTGTCAACGAAGACTAGAGTCGAGACCCTCGTGCAGGAAGAGTCGTTGCGCGAGCCTAACTGGCCTCGCCTGCAAGTTCCGGGAGGCCGGCCAGCTCTTCAGGCAAACAGGTTGCCCACGCCCTTGACGAGCGCGGCGTCGACGCGCACGAGCGACGGGTCAGCGGCGATCGCCTCGACGAGCGGCTTGATGGTGTAGAGGAAGGGGAGGTCACCCGTCTTGGCATACGTGTCGTCGAACGCCCACATCTTGTCCGTGGCACCCGCCGGGCCCGAGCGGCCCCAGAACTCGACGCTGACGGGGTTGCCGGAGGCATCGGTGCCGACGGGGACCGTCACCTTGGGGACAGGGATGTTCTTGTACGCGCAGTACGCCACGAAGTTGCAGAGCGAGACTGACGAGTCGTAGGTGGTCACGCCGTCAAGACGCTGCGAGAGGGTGGAGCCCGCCATGCCCTCGTAGGTGAAGGCGTCGCAGAACTGCGCGGGCGTGAAGATGACGTCGACGCCCCACGTGTCGAAGTACCTGGTTGGGGGGGGCTGGCGGCTGTGAATCACACGATGAAGGACCGGGGCGCGTGGTGAGAGGGGGACATGGAGGGGAGCGGCCCACGAGTTCCACACGTCGATGGTGTCGAGGTAGTACGGGCCGATGCCGAAGCGGAATCGAGTCTCGTCGGTCACGTCGCCGATTGTGAGGAAGCCGCCCGGGCCATGCCCCGCCCCGGCCGTGTAGATGTCGTCCGTGATGTCCTTCAGAGCGACGGTAGTGTTGAGGTAGCCGCGCACCCACTCGGCCACCTGGCCCGAGAAGGAATGGAAGGTCGCGAGGAACACGTCGTAGGGGGCGCCGTTGACGTCGCCGACGCAGAGCATGTTGTCCGCCACATCGTTCCGCCCGTTACCGTCGGCGTCTAGCCACTCCTTGTCGATTATCGTTGCGCCCGCCGCCGTCATCGCGGCGATCGACGCGTCGTACTTGGCCATGATGCCCTCGGACACGGTGAGCTTGGACGGGTAGGTGGGCCAGCCTGCCGGCACCACAAAAATGACACGCTTTCCTCTCTACGTGCACGAATACAGGGGCGGGGGGCGGGGCGGGCATCGGCTCGCCATAATTGTTGCAGCCGTCGAAGGTGTACATCTCAACGAACGGGTACTTTGGCACGCCCACCTTGATCTGTCCGATGGTCTTGGCTGCTAACGCGGCCGCGGCGTGCTCGGCCTGGATCCCCACGAAGGCTGCGTCGAACGCCAGGATGTCGGAGAAGGTGCGCGTGTTGATACCTACCTGGTCGTTGGTGTAGGACATACCTGGGTTGCCGTGGTTCGGGTAGTGGTTGCGCGACGGGTCGTAGCCAAAGTTGTGGTTTTGGTACGAGGGGTGGCGGGTGGAGCCGCCCGTGTCCTCGGTGAAGGCGACCGGCGCGATGTACGAAGCGACGGCTGAGCCCGAACCGCCTGATGAGCCGCCGACCGTGAGCGCGTGGTCGTAAGGGTTGAGGGTGCAGCCGTTGGCGTAGTTGCACGTCACCCACGAAGCGGCGAACTCGGGCACATTAGTTTTGGCGAAAACGATGCCGCCGTGCTCCTTGACGAGCGCCGGCGTGCCAGCGTCTTTGACCGCCTTCTTGTCGTGCAGCACGCCAACGCCGGCCGACGACGGGAAGTCGATGGTGGCCATGGTGCCCTTCATGGGCACGGGGAGGCAGTAGAGCGGTGCAATGGAGTCGACGCCCTCGGTGGCAACCTGTGGTGGGCCGCGGGGGCAGTGACAGAGAGTGCAAAACGGAGTGTGGCGGCGGCCGTCACTGTTCACCTTGGCATCGAGCGCGGCCGCGGCCGCCATGACCACGTCCATCTGGTCGGGCATGTTGTCCCAGTACATGAACTGGCCCATGTACTTGTAATGCTTGGCGCGCATCGTGAGCACCTCGGCGTACTCAACGCACGTCACCGAGCCTGCCGCCCGTGCTGCCATAAACTCCTGCGCTGTCATCTTGGCAAGCTCGATCTGGCGGGCCGTCATCGCCGGTGGGCCCGCCATTGGGATGCTTGCCACGTTGTCCACAAACCACGATGCGACCTCCGGGCTCGCCGCCGACTCCTTGCTGAGAGGGGTAGGGAATGTGGCCTTGATCTCGGGCTTCGAGAGGCGATTGTCAGCAGGGCAGTCGTCAGGCACAGGGGCAAAGCCCGTTGAGGCGTGGACGAGGAGCGCGAGCATGGTATCTGCGGCGGATGAGAGACGCGGGCAGTCGTCATGACATCGCCGATGTGTGCTGGTCGCGCTCACACTGGCAGCGCTGTGGCGGCCGCGGACCTGAACGCTCGAAGCGGGCGAGACACGGGGGTGTGGCGAGAGGGGTACAGGCTGTCATTGATTGCAGGCGTCTTCTTCTTTGTTTGTTCACAGCACCTCGTGAATAAACGAGTATATTGTAGCGGTGCATTGATTGAATGAAAGTTCGCGGAATGTGGGGTGAACAGCACCGCTCTGAGTTCTCTCTTCTTGAGTTCTGTGTCGGGTTAGTGACGAGGGGTGAGGGGACGGATTCATTTTTGCGGAAGAACCCTCCACACCCAAGATCGTGCAGGGCGGGGGACACATGTCACTAAAATTCCATTCTCGTCTTTACACAGAGAATGGGGTTTGTGGAGCGTCCAGGGATGTCCAGAAGGTCCAGAAGGTGTCCAGAAGATGTCCAGAAGGTGTCCAGAAGATGTCCAGAAGGTGTCCAGAAGGTTGGAAAAGAATGTGGGAACGTCTAGAGGGTCCTCTGCAGGTGTTCAGAAGGCCTCAGGTGTTCTACCGAAGGTCTCACTCAGTCAGGTTAAGCCGTAGGTCACACGTGTCTCAAAGAGTCGCCTCCACGAGTGAGCAACCCAGTCAGTCATGGGCTTTGAAAAGTAGACATTGTGGTTTGCTGGTGAAGGCCTGCGGGCCTTCTGGACATTCTGGACATTTGCTAAAGCTTGCTAAAGCACCTTCTGGACATTCTGGACATTTGCTAAAGCTTGCTAAGCACCTTCCTACCCAACCGACCGCGTGAGATAGGGTGCTGACCTTTCTCTCCGAGGCTCGCCGTGGCCCCACACGGCGGCCTCTGCTCGCGTTTTCGAGCCAGGACCTTCGTCCGGGCCCACGGCCGGCACGCCATCATCGATTCCGCGCGCTCGGCCTCCACCGGCTTGCTGTGCGGACGGCTTCTTGTGGCTCTCGTCGAGAGCGTTTTGGCGGCCCGCCGGGGGAGAGAATATGTGTCGTCTGATGTGTCACTGTGTACGTCATATCAGTCTTGATAACAAGCACGGTCGATCCGTCGAAGCGATATACTCGTCACGTCACGCTGGACGGCTTGCACGGAGCTCTGTGCCGGCACACAGGAAGAGCCGTGCGGCAAGAAGGAAGAAGAGCTCGATGGGGAGCGAGAACCGTCAAAGGTGCTCACGCAGGTTTCGGACGTCCGTCATGGTGCGGTCAGTTCCCCCCAGGTTTGACCGCGCAGGTCTCAAAACTCGTCGAGCACTCGTAGCCTTTCTGCGCCTCTCTGCATGCTGCCGGCTCGGGAAGAGCATATTTTGGAAGATATCTCAACGAGATCCGACGTCTGCGCGGTCATTGTTGGGGCGATCTTACCGTGTTATGACGGAGTCCTGATACCTCTCGGAGCACCTCTAACGGTTCTCGCTCCCTGTCGAGCTCTTCTTGCCGGACGGCTCTTCCTGTTTTGCGGGGTGCGCTGAGCTTCGTGTCAAGCTCCGAGGGCAACGGAAACGAGTGCATCGCTTCGGATAGACCGACTGTGCTTGTTACCAAGACCGATCTCACGTACACAGTTACACTCAAGACGTTCTGTACTCTCCCATCCGACAACCGGCAAGACGCTGTCGATAGCCAGCCGCTCTTGCGGCAGCCGGCAGCGGAGACTGAGCGCGTCGGGCGAGTGGAAATCGAGATGGCGTGCCGGTCATGGGCCCGGACGCCATGAGGTGAGCGTCGTGCGTTTTGCCGCCGCGTGCCGCCGCTGCGCCGACTGGCTCCCGGTTCGAATCGTCCTTCGCGGAGCGAACGCGGCGACACGGGCGCACGTCGCGCGCGTGTGCGCCTGCGACAAGACGAGACGAGAAGAGAAGGAGAAGTAGACGGTTGGTGTTTTTGCTGCCGCGGCCGCGCCGTGAGCTCGCGTCTGTTTTGGCGCCGACGACGCGACGCGCCCCGCCGCGTGAGATGGCGCTGCCGCGGAGTCGGCGCCGCGATCAACCGCGCGCCAGCGGCGAGCGGCGCAGCGCGGCCACCATGCGGCGCGACGTGCCCGCCGAAGCTTGGGTTTTTTTGTTTTACATTCTTTTCCTCGCACGTAAAATTCTTTTCCTCGCGATGTCCACCCCAACGCGCCGCTCGCGCCGCTCGCGCCGCCTCGCCGCCTCCGCCGCCCCCTCGCCAGACACGCCGCCGCCCGCCCGCCTCCTCGACCTCCCCACGGAGCTCCTCGTGCGCGCCCTCTCTCGCTGCGACCCCGCCGACATCGCTCGCGTCGCGGCCGTCTCGCTGCTCTTCCACGCCCCACTCGCGCTAGAGGCCATCCGCTTGTGGGCGCAAGAGCGCGGCTTCGAGCTGCCGGCGCAGCCAGAGGGCGAGAGCTGCGCCTTGCGGTGGCTATGCCTTGCTGCGCTGCTGTGCGAGTCCAACCCGCCGGCGAGGGCGGCGGCAGGCCAGTACCACAGCCTCTTCATTGATAGCGAGGGGCGGCTCTCGTGTTGCGGCTCAGCGCCGCCCTACGCCCCAGGCCTCCTTGGCCAGGGCGAGGGTGTGACGCGGCTCAATACGCCGACCCGCCTCACGTCGACGGTGAGCGGCGAGCGCGCCGTGAGCGTGTCGGCTGGAGCAAACCACAGCCTCTCCCTCACCGCTGACGGCGCCGTTTGGAGCTGGGGCCAGGGAGGCTTGGGCGCGCTGGGCCACGGCGACTGGCAGGACCAGCTGCTGCCAAAGGAGGTCGAGGCCTTCGCTGATCAGCGCGTCGTCGCTCTGTCGGCGGGAGGGGTGCACAGCCTCGCCCTCGCCGCCGACGGCTCTGTCTGGAGCTGGGGCGGTGGAGACGATGGCAAGCTGGGCCACGGCGACCAGCAGAGCCAGCTGCTGCCGAAGAAGATCGAGGCCTTTGCTGACCAGCGCGTCGTCGTTGTGTCGGCTGGAGGCCAGCACAGCCTCGCCCTCACCACTGACGGAGCCGTCTGGAGCTGGGGCTATGGAACCTCTGGCCGGCTGGGCCACGGCAACCAGCAGAATTAGCTGCTGCCGAAGAAAGTAGAGGCGCTGGCTGGCCAGCGCGTCGTCGCTGTGTCGGCTGGAGCATACCACAGCCTCGCCCTCACCGCCAACGGCAGTGTCTGGAGCTGGGGCTATGGAGCCTTTGGCATGCTGGGCCACGGCGACGAGCAGCACCGGCTTCTGCCAAAGAAGATCGAGACCTTGGCTGGCCAGCGCGTCGTTGCCGTGTCGGCTGGAGGCGGGTACAGCCTCGCCATCACCGCCGACGGTAGCGTCTGGAGCTGGGGCAATGGGTACCATGGCCGGTTGGGCCACAGCGACCAGCAGAACCAGCTGCAGCCAAAGAAGGTCGAGGCCTTTGCCGGCCAGCGCGTCGTCGCTCTGTCGGCTGGAGATAAGCACAGCCTCGCCCGCACCGCCGACGGCCCCATTTTCACGTGGGGCAAGGGCGAGGACGCCTACCTAGGCCACGGAGAGGACCTGTCGAACCAGCTGCTGCCCAAGAAGATCGAGACGTGGGCGCCGGGCCAGTGAGAGGGGAATCGTGAGTGAGCTGCAAGCCTGCCTCTCGGGACTCGGCTACCTTGGTGGGGAAGGCGGCGGGCCGCTGAGGGAAGACGGCCTAACTCGCTCGCTGCATATAGTAGCGATGAGCTCACTAGCTAGAGCTCGCACTAGAGGCCGTCATCGCATTCGCCCTGGGACTCAGCGCTGACTTCTGACTGTCGTTGCTGTCTATCCCTTCCTCGACTGTCTGTGCTTGTGCGTCTTGGGTCCGGGGTTGTGTTTTGTCTGAACGGCGGTGCATACACACAGTGAAATGGTTTCTTTCTTCTTTGTCCCCTGCCCAGTGTTGAAAGATAAAGCCCGGCGTTGCCTGACCGTGAAAGGAGCTGGAGGTTGACCGTGAACTCGCGCACGGCGCACTTGGAGCACGGGGGGAGCGCGAATTGGTCTTGCCCAACCCCTCATCTCGCGCTGGGGGCCCCTGCGCTCCGAATGCCGCCCTCCAAGCTCTTTTCGAGGCACTGCACGCGCGCGACGCCAAGCGCGTGAAGCATCTCGTGTCGAAGGTCTCGCACAATCGCTTAACTGATTTCAAATAGGAATATTCCTACCCTTTCGCAGCCGTGTGCTCTTGCGACGACATCTTCTCACGCGTGATCGGTGATGCGCTGCACGCGGGGCTGCGCGGCAAGGAGGAGCCGCGCAAGATCTTCAGCGCCGTCATCCCGCCTGTCACACTCAACGGCACAGCTGGCACGCGCGGTAAGAACGGCATCGTGCCGGATGGGCGCCTGCACTGCAAGCTGCGCGAGTCCCGCACGGCACGCTGCACGGGCACACGAGGCCAGGCGCATCCGTCTGTCCGGTGGCGCGGCACGACAGTGCAGCGCGGGCCCGAGCAGCCGCCGGCGGAGCACCTTCTCGAGGGCAAGACCATCCACCGCGGCGGGCCTCACTACATGAGCGCTCGGGCGCGCGACGATGGCCAGGGCGGCGCTGTCGCCGACAGGGCGAACCTGGTCCAGCGCGACTACGAGGCGCGGGCGGCGGCGCTCGATGCCGAGCCGCACGTGCAGGCATGGAACAACGGCTCGAGGGACGACGTGTCCTCCGTGCTGCGCTCGTTTGGCACCGTGCGCAGCCTCGTTGTCGGGGCCTACGCGGAGGCGTCGGACGACCTGCACCAGCTGTTCGACTGTGTGGTGGAGTCGGCATCCAAGCAGCACTGGAGGCGGATCGGCGCGCGTAGCGCGAGGGAGGCGCGGTCCTACTTCGCTACGACGCTGCGGCGGGCGTGGGGCGGCACTTTGCGCGCGAGTTCGCGCGGCACCGCCTCCGACGCGTGGTGTTCGTGGGGGGCCCGCGGCGACAGCCGGGCAGGCCTCTCGCGACGGCCGACGGCGACTGGCCGGCGCTGTCGGCGGGCGAGTTTGCGGCGCACGCGCTGCGCGTAGGCGGCGCGTGGGCGGGTGGCCCGCCCGGCCGATGAGCACCGGACGCGAGGGTCGGTCGGCTCCTAACTAACTAGCTGTATATAGTCGCGATTTGCCGGCGTGCGTATGAGCTCACTAGCTATAGAGCTCACACTAGAGGCTGTGCGCAAGAGGAGCGGTAGCGCCTGAGCTCCCAGGCGGCTGCGCCGGCCGCGCGGGCCGTGGGCGCAGCGTGGGGCCGGGAGCGGCCTGCTCCGTGCTCATGTGTCCAGCGTCTCTAGACGATTACAAAGGATCGGACGTCACGCACATTTTGACAGGGACGTCGGAAATCGGACACATCCACTGGGACGAGTCAATTCATTCACTAGAATGACTAGAAAGGGCACCCATGGGGGGTGATCGCATCCCCCCCAATGGCGGCGGGCGCCGCAGAGCCGGCATTGTGGAGTCAATCCCCCCCATTGCGCGCGCGCGCATTGGTGGCGAAGTCGACGCTGCGCCTCAGCTTGTCGCGCGCGACCCACTTGGTGAGGAAGTCGGCGGGCATGAGGTCGTCTGCGATCTTGACGACGCGGCACTCGCCCTCGGCCATGCGGCGCTGGAGCGTGTGGTACCGGCGGAGGAAGTGGCGCGAGCGCGACGCGGACATGGCATTGTTGGCGACGAGGACGTTGGCCTTGTTGTCCGAGAGGATGACCGTGGGCCCGGCGGGTGGCGCTCCGAGGGCAAGGAGGACGACGCGCGCGTAAGAGACGTGCTCCCCGGCCTTGGCGGTGGCGATAGCCTCGCACTCGTGCGACGAGTCGACGATCAGGCCAACCTTCTTCGTGCAGTGGTAGACGGCGGCGCCAAAGCACGTGAGGACGATGCCGTAGAGGTCGAGGTCCCCGTTCCACGTGGCGTCGGCGGCGGCAGCGAGATCGGCAGGCGCGTGCGAGTCGAGCCCCGCGATGTGGGCCTGCATGTGCCCCTGAAGCTCGGCGACAGCGCGAGGCCCGCCGTACGTGATCCCGTCGTCCCTAGCTCGTAGGCCATGTTGAGGGCGGCGCGCGCGACGTCGTAGGCGGCCGGCGGCGGCGCAGACATCACGCACGAGAGGCGGTGGAGGACCAGACAGAGCTTCGGCTGGACACGCTCGACGAACTTGAGGTGGCCGATGATGCTCTGCGTCCGCACCTGCTGCGGCGTCACAAAGGATCGGACGTCACGCACATTTTGACAGGGACGTCGGAAATCGGACACATCCACTGGGACGAGTCAATTCATTCACTAGAATGACTAGAAAGGGCACCCATGGGGGGTGATCGCAGGCTGCCGTCATCGCATTCGCCCTGGGACCCAGCGCTGACTTCTGACTGTCGATGCTGTCTCTCCCTTCTCGACTGTCTGAGCTTGTGCGTCTTGGGTCCTGTGTGAAACAACGGCACCATGTATGCGGCGGCCAACATGGTCCGTGCACGAGCCTGCGGCAAGCTCGTGCTCGGTGACAAGGCGAACCCTCAGACGACTTTTCATCTCAACGAGGGGCACGTCACCGACATGTGCGAGATCGGCGGGGACCTGCAGTCCCAGCGCGATGTCCACTACGAAAGTCAAGGTGCCTAGCGCCCTCACAAAGACCTGAGGCAGGCTGGGCAGGGCTCGCGGCGGCACACGGCGGATGCTGTGCGTCACTGGGCCACAAGTTTGGTTTCGGCAACACCCTCGACCAAACCTTGCTCAAGGTTCTTGGGTGCAAAGAGCGCGGCCACAAGTCACAGGGCCCGCTCGTCCATGCGACCGGTAAAGGCTGGGTCAAAGGGCACAAGGGACAGTACTACGACGCGCTCCATGTCAAGAACGGAATCGTCAAAATTTGTCTCGTCGAAAGCCAGGGCGGCATCGCGCCGCCGACCAAGAGAATCATCTTCAACTTCGCCAAAGAGGTCGGCAGCCCGAGCGCCGTCGACCGCACCGACTACGGCACAGCCTCCGGCAGCGCCCGGGGCTTTGTCCAGCACCACTCGCAACAGCTCTCGCGCGCCGCCGTCTGTGGCGACGCGCAAAACATCAACAACGCTGCTCGCAACATGCGTGTCGCGCACTCATTCATGACCGGTCTCAATGCCCCACCCCCCTGCGCGCGGGCCTTCTAGGCCCGCGGGTAGTCTCCCCCCATTCCCAGGGCCTCCAGGGCTCGCACCTCAACCTCCCACAGACCAGCGCACAGCGCCATCGGACGTATTTTCTTCTCAATAACAAGGCTGTGAATAAGGTGCCGTGAATATGTGCCCGGAAACTCCTCCACGTGAATGAAGTCACTTCATCGCGCGCCCATCGCGCTGCTCCTCCTCTCCTCCGCAGGCGCGTGCCTGCCGCAAACGCGCGTCGCCGTCTGTGTCGCTGAGAGCAAGTGCTCCGCCTCCGTCACGCGCCACGGGCCGCTTTCGGCGCTTTCATGCAGCAGCGCACAGACGCACAGAGGGCCACGCACAGAGACAGTCCAGACGGCTCGGCACGCCGCGGCCGCGCGCTGACCGCGCGTCCGCCGCGCCCGCAGCGCTGCTCTTCGCCGACGAGGAGATCGACGTCGACCGGACCGACTTTTCTGACCCCGCGCTCTCTGCTGAGCTCGAGGCCGAGGGCCCGAGCGAGCACGTCGAGTCTGCGGCGCTGCTTCCGGATGCCATCGACGACAGTGCGCGCCGCCGGCCCGCCTGCGCTTTCGCCGCCGTTGGCCGCCGCCGGTCCCCGCGCAGACGTGCGTCTCTCACGCCTGCCGCCCGCCCGTCTGGCCGCGCGCAGAGGTGGAGATTGGGGCAAACAACACGCTGCTCATCGCGCTGTCGAACCTGGGCGGCAAGATGTATAACGTGACGCACGTCGACGGCCACCTCGAGGAGCTCGGCTCCGGCAAGCAGCTCGGCAAGTTTCGCCGGCAGAGCTTTGGCGAGCCTCTCGGCCCGCGCGAGCAGCGCTCGTTCCGGCACCGCCTCCCGCGCCTCCGCTCTTGGCACCGCCAAACCCTACCCCTCACACCGACACGGACACCGACCCTAGGTACCTCTTCGTGCCCCCGCTGAGCATCAAGCCCGACGCGTACCGCCTCGTCTTCTCCATCTACTACCAGAACCGCGACGCCGCCAAGTTTGTGGACGCCATCTTCAACGAGACCGCCAACCTGGTGCCAGCCACCGACCTCGGGATCGACGCCGACATGATGCTGCTCGCGGGCGGCGCGGCGGCGGGCGCGGCGATGCTCTTCGCCATCGGCTACCTGCTCTCCTCGGGCAGCGGGGCGCCGCCGGCCAAGGCCAAGAAGGCCGCGGCGTCGGCGAAGGCGAGCGGCAACGGCGAGGCGAGCGAATGGCTGCAGGGCACGGCGGCGGGCAGCGAGGGCAAGCCGCGCAGCGGGCGCTCCAAGAAGCGGTCGTGAAGCGGCCGAGAGAGGGAGGGAGGAGAGAGAGAGAGAGAGAGAGAGAGAGAGAGAGAGAGAGTGAGAGAGAGAGAGGACGTGGCTGCGCTGGAAGCTGGCTGGAAGTCGACTAGGACCCGGCACTGTGCCGAGAGGCCGTGGCCGAGGGTGTGCGTCGAGCGTGCACTCGACCCGCTCGTAGTACCACACAATCTGACACCACAGTTGGATGCTTGGATCCATATGAACTTTTCACGAACTGAGAACTGTGAACTCGTGCTCCCTTCAGCAGCCTTCTCGGCCCTGTGAGCTGTGTGCGCACACGCAGGTCACAGCAGCACAGATACGACAAGGTGATCAGCTGATCACAGAGAAGCGGTCCGACAGGTTCGGCACCGGGCACCGCCTCGGTATACAAAATGCGCCTGCGGGCGGACCCTCACAGATCACAGATCGCACAGATAGTTATCCAGGATCTTGCCCCACCACCTCGTGTGTGTGGAGAGAATACCTTACCTTACCTTACCTACTGTGCAGAAACCACAGGACGCACGCCGTCTCCGACTCATCCGCCGAGGGATTCGGATTCTCAGGTCGGTGGCTCGGTGCGCGCCGGGGACTGTGCAACTGGCGGGCGCCCACTATGCCTCTCTTCGTGTACGCCCCGCCTTTTTATCTCCTCCTCCTGCTCCCGACGGCGCGGGCCTTCGCGCCACGTTTCGGTGCGGTGAGACGGCCGACACCCTCAAGCCAGATGGTCGCCGACAGCCGCACCCGGAGCAAGGCTCAGGGGCGCGGTGGCTGCTGCCACAAGGCGTCCGACTGCCTGGCATCGACGGCTGGTAATCCGGAGGGTGCGAGCGAGCCGCCAGAGCCGTCGTTGCCGACACGACAGTGCGGCGCGCCTCGTGCTCCTCCCGTGTCGCTCAGCGCCGCAGCGGCCACCTCGTGCGAGGCGCTGCTCCGTTCGACGTTCGAAGGCATCGTCGACGCCGACGCCGTCGCCTCGGCCTGCGCCTCGGACGTGGAGTGGGACGACATGTCTGCGGGCGGCCCCGTGAGCGGCCCTGCCGCCGTTCGGTCGCTGATAGCGGCAAAGTACCCTCGCGGCACACGCCTCGTGCTCGACCGCGTCTCGGACGGTCGCACCTCGGGCGGCTTCGTCTTCCACCGCGAGGCGGAGGACCGGCCCGGCGCGGTCGGCCTGCGCGGCACGCTCTTTGCAGAGCTCGACGCGGTGCGGCACACTTCTCCCTCTGCCTTCCCTCTCTCGTCTCCCGCAGCGGCCTCTGCCCGTCACTCCTCCCTCTGCCGTCCCTCTCTCGTCTCCCGCAGCGGCCTCTGCCCGCACCGCCTCGCGCTCCACTGCTGCACTCGCCGCCTCCACCTCACCGCTGCCACCCTCACCGCCCGCGACACGTCCGCGACACGTCCGCGACACGTCGGCGACACGTCGGCGACACGCCGGGCAGGCGGGCCTCCTGCGGTACGTCCGCGAGGGCTGCGAGCCGATCATCAAGCCGGGCGAGGCGACCGAGGCGCTGCTCGGGGCGGCGGCTGCGTGCCGCTATGACCAGCGTCTCTTCACACCTCCAGCCGTGAACAGGTGCTCTGCAACCCGCCCTTCTACGGGGCCGCTGTGAACAGCGTCTCTTCACACCTCCAGCCGTGAACAGGTGCTCTGCACCCCGCCCTTCTCCTCGGCGAGCGCCCTCCCACACGCCCGACTGTGGACAGGCGCTGCTCAAGGCGGCGACGGCAAACATGGACCGGCCGCGCAAGCCGCCGCCCACCTTCACGCCCGCGACGCCGACGACGGCGAGCGGCATCGTGCGGTACTTGTGGGAGGAGGCGTACCCGGGCGGCGCGACGCCGTCGGAGGGCTTGCGCCTCTTCTCGGACGCAATCGAGTACCAGGACTTCAACTACAGAGAGCCATTCGTCGGCAAGGGCGCGGTGCGCGCCTTTGTGGAGGTGCCTCTGCGGAGGCAGGGCGGGCGGGGGAGTGCGAGCCGCGACCTCTTCACGGCCTCCCTTGCCGAGAGCAGGCCTTCGACATCCCCGGCATCGAATTTGATCTGCAGCGCGTGTCGGAGGGAGAGCGAGCGGTCTGCTTCACGTGGAAGGCGAGGAGGGGAGAGGGGAGGGGGAGGGGAGGAGAGAGCAGTCTCGGCATGCGGAGTGCTGCGAGAGAGGCGCCGTTCACGCCTCCTTCCTTGCGAGCACCATCTCTCCCCATCTCTCCCCATCTCTCCCCACATCTCCCCATCACTCCCCATCTCTCCCCACATCTCCCCACATCTCCCCATCTCTCCCCACATCTCCCCACATCTCCCCACATCTCCCCACATCTCCCCACATCTCCCCACATCTCCCCATATCTCCCCACATCTCCCGCCAGGTGGTCGTCAACGGGCAGGACGGCCCCTCCGGCATATCCTTCTACGAGGTCGACACAGACGGCAAGGCGTGCGGCACGATACCCTACGCGACATCGAACCGCAACCCTGACCCTGACCCCTGACTCTGACCCGGCGACAAGGTGTGCTTCATTCGCGACATCCCCGCGCCGTCGCCGCGAGGCTTCCGCCCGGCCGGCGCCCTGCTGTCGGCCCCCTCGGCTGCTGGTGCCACAGCCTCCCACGGGCCTTCTTGGAAGCTTCCTACAGGCGCCCTCGCCGCGGCAGTCGACCCCGAGCTGCGCACCTTCTCGCCCGGCAAGCTCGCAGGCGCACCGCCCACCCGCGCGCTCCGGGCCGTCGCAGTTGGAACGCCGCCTGGAGCCTCGCCCAGGGGGTTGGAACCTGGGCATCAACCGATAAAGAAAATGGCGGTTCGGAGAAGCTCTCTCCTCGTCGGCCCCGCCTGCTCGAGGGGAGGCCACCCTCAGACCGCTTCGCCGAGCGAGGCGAGTCGCGGCGTCGGAGGCGCAAGATCGAGGCCGTGTGTCTGGGACGCACGCCAGATTCCAACCCCCTGGCCTCGCCTCCCGAGGACGCGGAGACGCGCGGGATTGACCCGGTCTTAGCCCCACCCGGGATGGTACCGCAGCAGCGTTGAGGAGATGGCGTTCTTTCCCCCTCACCCGGCAGGCGCAGCGCTCGGCGTCGCTTCGGCCGGGATGGGCCTGCTCGCGCCCTTCTTCCGCTGGCAGGCCGAGTGGCAGGCGGGGGCGCTCGGCGGCGAGGGCGACCGCACGGCGGCGGCGGCGCAGCTGGATGCGGAGGTTGGCTCCGCGCCGGTGGTGATCTACACGTATGGCTGGTCTCCCTTCTCCTCCGAGGCGGTGGCACTCCTCGACGGCACCGGCTGCGAGTATAAGCAGGTGCAGCTCGGGGCCGAGTGGTTCCTGCTCGGCGGCGTGGCGTCCAGCGTGCGCGCCGAGCTGCTGCAGCGGCACGGCGTCTCGTCGCTGCCGCATGTCTTCATCGGAGGCCGCAGCGTGGGCGGGCTCTACTCGGGCAACGCGCAGGGCGAGGTCGGACTCGTCCAGCTCAAGAAGGAGGGCCGCCTCGACGGCTTGCTCCGCGAGGCGGGCGCACTGCGCGCGTCTGACTCTTAGATGAATCGATCGCGATTTTCCCCGAGGTCAGAGCCTTCCTTGGGGCCTGTGCGCCATATTCTTCGTATATTCTTTGTCGAAGCGATTTTCAGCGAGATTTTCAGCCGGAATATAAAGAATATTCGAGAATTTAAACAAAACAATTCTCTCTCAGCTCACCTCCCCCCGCCCGTGATTCGCGGAGACCCGACCCGTGCGCAAAACAGGGGGTATGTGCAGCACTGGCGTGGCCCATCGGGGCGACTGGAGCAGCCACGTCCGCCGCACAGCCCGCAAGTAGCGTTGCAGCAGACCCGGCTGCTTGGGGTGCAGGACGCCGGCCGAGCAGTCGGCGAACGAAGGAGGAGGCCGTGTGCTCCACGGGCCTGATGGTGAGGTTGAGACGGTGGGAGAGATGACCATGTCGTGCGCCTCGGCCTGCGAGGCGGGTTGGGGCCTCATGTCACGCGCAAGTTGGATCGGCCCGCCCCCTATGCCCTATTTTTCCGAGCTATGAAATGAATTAAAGCACAGGTCCCTTGTTGCAATCCAAACCCCCCCTTTGCCGCCTCCTCCCCCACCGCTCCCCCCTCTCCTCTCCGCCCTCGCCCCCTTCACCGCCGCCACCGCCGCCTCCACCGCCGGCCCCTTCCTTGCCGCCTCCTCTCTGACCGCCTCCTCCCCCCTCCGCGCCACCTCCGCCCCATCTCCGCCCCATCCCCGCCCCATCTCCGCTCCATCTCCGTTCCCTCTCGGCCCCCGTCATCATCTCGGCTCAGACTCGGCTCAGACTCGGCTCAGACTCGGCTCAGACTCGGCTCAGACTCGGCTCAGACTCGGCTCAGACTCGGCTCAGACTCGGCTTAGACCCGGCTCCCTCTCGGTCGAAGGTTGCAGCTGTCCCCGACGCCCCCTCGTGCCGCGCCAGGTGCGCCATGGCGCTCGTGCACTCGCGTATCCGGCGGCTCGTGTACGCGCTGCCCGCCCCCGGAGGCGCGTGCGGATCCGCGTACCGCGTCCACACCATCCCGTCCATCAACCACCACTACCAGGTCGTGCGCGGCCTGCTGCGCGACGAGGCGGCGGAGGCGCTCGGGCTGACCGGCCCGGCGGCCTCCGACCTCAAGCCGGGGTGAGGCGGGCGTGTCGCAGCAGAGGTCAGTGTGTTGAGAACATTTAGACCGTGGAGGTGGGGATCGAATTTTCACCAGCCCGTGTGGCAAAGATGCAGATGCTCCTGCGCCTGTGTCGAACCTCGGCGAGAGAGAGCCGTTAGTTGGTTGCACGTTGTTGCTTGAAGGTTGAATTCTTTTTGGCGGCTGAAAATTCTTTATTTTCGCTGTGCCTTTTCGCTTTTGTTGTGCCAGTCCGTGCCTCTTCCCTCAGTGCTCCTGCGGCACTTGGAGCACTTGGAGTGCAGTCATCGAGCTAAGAAGCGCACCAATTATGTAGGAATTCTTTTTTGAATATTCCGACAAGGGCAAAAAAATCGCGTCCCATCGCTCCGCTCAGCCTTCAACTGCTCCATGGAGCACCGAGCGGACCGAAAGACCTCGCCTGCTGCGCTGGAGCACCTCGCCACTGAGTGTGACGAGCACCTCGCAGGCCGCGAACGTCTCAAAGTACATCGCTGCGGGTCCCGTACAGCATACCACGCAACTTCCAGAGGGGGGGGGGGGGTGTGATACCAATCATAGGCGTGTGAGACGCGGCGATACGCTAGACCGTGACTGCAACGTCACGTGCCGCTGTGTCGGCATCGCAAGAGCTACTGCTGCCTCTCCTGCCGCCAGCGTATGCCGTTTCTTTGCTCAGCCGGTACCCCCCCACCCCCCACCCCCGGGGCCGGGGGGGGGGAGCTGCATATATGTTGCGGTTGGCGGAGGCGGCCGCTCGTCGCAGCTGCTGGGACTCCTTTGCCTTGGCCGCTGTTGCGCCCAGTGCCTTCGCCAGAAGCACGCGTGACACCTAGAGACACGCTCCAATCTGAGGTGTGTGTGTCACATCCACACACTAAAATCGCGAGCGGCGCCTCGCGGTATACGCCAGGAAAGAAGGAGCGCGCAAGATCGCGATACAACCCATCGTTGATGAGCTCCTGCGGTGTGACTTCAAACATTCTGTCAAACGCACAGCCGCCGAGCGCGGGGTCATTCTCGTGCACCATGACGATCTTCAGCTTGTCCTCGCGCGCCTGCTTGACCTGCTCGGCCAGCCGCTCGCCGTCGTGCTCTAACCAGGTAGTCTGATTGAGGTACAACAGCATGTGGGTCACATCGCCGGCGCGGCGCGTTCGGCGTGCCAGCCCGCGAGATGCCATGGAGGGGTGCGCTGCTGCAGAAGAGCCAACGTCCGCAACGGTGGAGACGGTGAGGCCGGGAAAGGCCCTGGCAAGCTCGCGAGCCAGCTCTGCGGCGCCCGGGTTGGCTGGCGAGGCCCATAGGACCACCGGCTTCGAGAAGACAAGCGTCTGGGTTGAGGCGTCGCCCGGCACAAAGAGGGGGAGGGAGCTCATTCGACAGTAGTTGGGCATGCGTAGTAGTAGGGCCTAATGCAAAACAAGCCAAGGTGAACACGAGGTCTGCTACAGCAGCCTCCTGCCTCACCATTTCTGCGCGTACGTCCACCGGACACTGGGAAATCTCAAAGTTCGCAGGTTCTGAGCACTGGCGATGCACTTGAGCACTTGAGCACTGGATAGGGTCGGTTCCGCATGGTACGGGACCCCTCGATCGTCTCGCCCACCCTCACTGGCGTGTTCATTGGGGGGGGTCATAACAAACACGGTACAGGATCGAGGTGCACGCTGCCGAAGCAGTGTCGTCCCCCCTCTCCCCGACGGCGATGGCGGTGTGACCGATCGAGCTACAAGAGGAACTTGTTCAGCAGGATCCGGGTTAGTCTGGCGCACTGCCTCACTGGGCCTGAGATCGCAGCGACGCTTTCCGTCACCGTCTCGGGTTTATGTGGGATCGAACCACTCCGGGATGGGCAAGCCCATAGCCAGATAGGTGGTCTGTTGACCACGGTTAGACCCTATGCAATAGGTAGGTATACCCCCCCCAATGAACACACCAGTGAGGGAGGGCGAGACGATCGAGGGGTCCCGTACCATGCGGAATCGACCCTATCCTGAGGGGTGGCCCGTCTACCGTCTACCGGTAGACCGGGTAGACGCTAGACCATTTGGTAGACGAGTCTACCGCAGTCTACCAATGAACCTACGACTGCAGTCTACCGGTAGACTTGGTAGACCGCGGTAGACTGGCCCCTTTTTCAGCCGCCGAACGGTAGACCGCCGCCGCCGGACGGTAGACCGCCTCGGCCAGTTGAATATGCAGCCTCCAGTTCTCCACTCTGGCGCCACTTTGGCAGACGAGCGCCGGCAGATGCCCTCGCGGCCTGCCGGCGAACGTCCGTCCGGCGAGAACGCGCGATGAAAGTGCGGTCTGCCGCGCGGGCGAAATCTGCCGGTGAGAGAGGCTGTTGAGCGCGGTCGCTGTGAGCTTCACCTCATGCCATTTCCGTGCGAGGCGAGCTCCGTGTCTTTTATGAGATCAAATGAACGTCTTTACACACTCATCGGGCGGAACCGCTCACTGCAGAGCACCGCCCTCTCGCGGCTCTCGAGAGCGAGTTTTCGCCAGACAGCCACACGTCCATTATGGCGCGCGTTCTCGCCGGACGGACGTTCGCCGGCAGGCCGCGAGGGCATCTGCCGGCGCTCGTCTGCCAAATTGGCGTCAGAGTGGAGAACTGGAGGCTGCATATTCAAACCGCCGAGGTGGTCTACCGTCCGGCGGCGGTGGTCTACCGTTCGGCGGCTGAAAAAGGGGTAGACCAGTCTACCCGGTCTACCAAGTCTACCGGTAGACTGCAGTCGTAGGTTCATTGGTAGACTGCGGTAGACTCGTCTACCAAATGGTCTACCGTCTACCCCAGTCTACCCCAGTCTACCGGTAGACGGTAGACGGGCCACCCCTCAGACCCTATCCAGTGCTCAAGTGCTCATAGGTAGGTAGGTCCGGTTTTGACCGCCCCAGAGGGCCCCGCAATAGGTAGGTAGGTGGTTGGTGGTGGTGGTGGTGTGTGTGTTGTGTTGTGTGTGGTGGGGGGTGGGGTGTGTGTGTGTGTGAAAAAAACCGCTTCGCGCGGGATGTGAGGTTGCCGACTGCACTCCAAGTGCTCCAAGTGCGGGAGACGGCGCGTTTAGCCGCGAACGGGGCCATGCTCTGGCGGGCTCGCGAGCGGCGCGCACCGCGGTACAAGCCGGCGCGCGGCGGGCGCTGGGAGCCTATTCACAGAGAGAGGGCTAACGGGTATTTTACTATTTTTTCGCTTCGCTGCGCGGCAGCCTGGGAATTTTTAAGTTTTAGGTATGTTGTTGGCAAATCAAGACACAGAGCTCACACAGAATCACAGCGGGAGGAAAGCGGCGAGAGGTAGGTAGGTGGGGCACGGAGCCTGGCGATTGGCGCCCGCAATAGGTAGGTAGGTAGACTGTTTGAGGGACGTCCGTCCAAAATGCGCGTTTGCGGCTTGCCTGTGCTCTCGGCCGCCTCGCTGAGCGGGACCGAGCGCGGTGCTGGTGGCGCCGACACTGCCGATCCGTCGAGCACTGCGGCGGCTGCTCAACCAATGAGAGTCGGCAGCGCTGCCTCTGCGGCTGGTGCGCCTGCACAGACCACGCCAAGCGACTGCAAACTGGGCGCAAACCTGCCTGGCAATGCTCTGGGCGAGGATGTCAGTGTGGAAACCACTCGAGTCCTTCAGCTTGATCCTGCCTCGACGGCTCGCACCGCAAACGCGGGTCCTGCACTTCCTCGCGGTGCTGGCATCTCTGCGCTGCGCCATATTGACGCCAATAACTCTTGGGGAGATGGGGGATCCGGGGGGACCGGCCGGGGGGGCCTCCGCGAGGAGGACGGGGCGGAGAGCGCGCAATGGGGAGGAGCAGCGGATCAACAGACTTAAGAGAAGGGCAGGCTGAGGGGGTGCAGCAATGCACACGTCTCGTACGCCCACAAGTTGCTTTAAAAACTCTACAGCCCGGCTAAAAATCCCGCCTCCCCCCCCCGCCCCCCCCCCTCCCCCTCCCCCCCCCCCCTCTCCCATATGACAGAGGCGCACACAGTGCCCACCATCCCCGACGCTTCGATACAGGTGATGCGCGGCGCTGTCTCTCAAGATGGAAGCAGGAAGCTTCCATCCCGGCGGTGGTTCGAATCCACACGAGCCGAAGGGTGAAGGGGGAGGCAGGCCCGAGGTCTGAAGCTCACCCATTGTGGAAGTGAGAACTGCTCGACCCACCCCTGATCCTGCTGAACAAGCTCCTCTTGTAGCTCGATCGGTCACACCGCCATCGCCGTCGGGGAGAGGGGGGACGATACTGCCTCGGCAGCGTGCACCTCGATCCTGTACCGTGTTTGTTATGACCCCCCCCAATGAACACACCAGTGAGGGAGGGCGAGACGATCGAGGGGTCCCGTACCATGCGGAACCGACCCTATCCAGTGCTCAAGTGCTCAAGGTAGGTAGGGCGTTTTGGTTGGTGCGAGTCATAGGGACGCAGACCCCTATCTGGTAGAAGCCGGAAGGGTTTTATATATACCAAAAGGAGGGCTACACGAGGCCCTCTACGCTGGGGTGCCGGCGCCCTACTGGGCGCCCCCCACTCCCTTCCCCTTAGAGCCCCCCATCCCGCTTACCCACCCCCCGCGGTCCCCTCGCGGCCGCGCCCGCGACGCCGCACCAACGGACGGGGGGCCTTCCCAAGCTGGCGGTCGCCGTGTCGCCTCGCTCTGATGCTGTCACTGCTGCTGACCGTCGCTCTGATGCTGTCACTGCTGACCGTCAGCACCGCCACTCCGCCCGACGCTGCGGCCTGGCGTCCCATCCGCACACTCCTCGAGAACTGGCAGTTCACGACGGAGTACGCCATCAGCATTGGCACCGCCGACCACGGCCAGCTCTTTGTGTACGAGTCTGGCAACTTCACGATGGACCAGCAGATTCCGACAGGCTCCACCTCCAAGTGGCCTTCGGCTATGATGTTTGCCGGCCTGGTGGGCGACGGCACGATTCGCTCGCTCGACGATCCGGTCCACGAGTATCTTCCGTACTGGACCAAGCATCCGCTCGACGCGCGCTCGCACATCACTCTCCGCCACCTGCTGACCTTCACCTCCGGCTTCGGCGACGGCCACCCCGGCTTCGAGTTCAACACTCGTGCGGCGAGGGCGTGGCGCGCGGGCCGCACGCCGCCGCGTAACAACATCAGCAGGGAGTGCGACCTGGAGAGCGGCGACACCGCCAAGTGCGCGCAGTCCATCTACTCGGGAGTCAAGCTGATCGGCGTCCCCGGACACGTTTATTCGTACAACAGCAACCACCTCCAGCTCGCCGCCGGCGTCGCCGTCGCGGTGAGCGGAAGTACTCTTTTCACAACCCCTCAGCTGAGTGCCTCTCTGCGCTGCTAATGGGACCGCCGAGTCACAAGGCGGTAGTTCGCAGGTCCCCTCACCAAGCCTTGCCCCCCCCCCCCCCCCCCCAGGGGAGCGGCCTGCCGATCAAGGAGGTGCCACCGTCAGCGAGTACCTGCTCTGCTCGAGCCATGTCCAGGACACGCCCACGACATGTCCGAGACATGTCCCATAGGTGGTCCGCAGGTACCTGCTCCAGCCGTTCGGGCTGACGGATTCGTACTACGAGGGGCGATGCCCCGACTTTGCGGGCTCGCTGGTGACGACGGGCCGCGACTACGAGCGCTTCCTGCACTCGCTGCTGTCTTACAGGCGGTCCGGCGCCCTCCTCCTCCTCCTCCTCCCACGCCTCCCCCTCCCGCCTCTCGGACAAGGGGGAAGAGGGACTCCAGTGGAGGAGAGGAAAGGGAGTACATCGAGCCGCTTGTCTCCCACCTCTTTGGAGGCCTCCCACGAGGGAGAGAAATGGTGGCGGGGCACTCTTACCCCCGAGCGGTGGCTCACTCGCTCCTCCTCGGTGCTCAGGCACCCTTCGCCCGCCCTGATCCTCGAGTCGGAGAGGGACGGGACGCCCTTCCTCTCGGACCAGTACACGCTCTACGGGAACTATGGCTTCGGCGCGCGCACACACACCACCTCCGCTGCCCGCAGTCTCCCGCCTCTCCCACACCCCAACCTGCGTGGCGCACGCCCCCCACTCAGTGCGACGATCTCTAGGCCACTTTCTGATGTGCTTTGACTCGGCGGGCGGCTACACTGACGCGTGTGCCGACGCTCGCTCGCACTTCGACCCGGGCGCTTTCGGCTTCATCCCGGTCCTCGACAGCACGGCTCCTGGCTCCGACATTGTGTGTGGCTGACGGATGAGTGATGAGTTGGCCAATCAGGTCCTCGACCGCAAGTTCGGCTTCTACCTCAACCTCGTCGCCGCGGAGACGGCGCAGCGTCCGCTTCGCTGGGCCGCATGGCCACGCCCCCCGTCCACGACACGCCCACGACACGTCCACCTCAGGCGCCCACCGGCTCGTACCCCCTCTCGGGCATACCCGAGTACCTTGCCGTCGGCCTCAAGCCGCACGTCGAGGAGCTCCCCTCCCGCAGCGAGGGAGGCCACACGCTGCCAGTTGTGCTGAGGCGGGAGCCGTCGTCCCTTGCAGGCGATCCTCTCGCAGCGGCCACCGCGGGCGGAAGAGCACTTGCACCACAACCCGGCCATCGCCGGCCTCTCCCTCGCCGACGTCAACTACGCGCTCGGCTGCCGGCTTCACCCGGACTCCTGCGCCTGAGTGGCCCTCCCGACGCCACACCAGAGCTGCGAGAGGCGCCGCTCTCGAGGGGATGGGCGGCCGCGCCGCGGGGAGAGGCGCAGACTGAGACGGAGCGGGCGCGCTGTGAGCAGGGCTCATCCCGGCGTCCGGCGACTTCGAGCGACTGGCAGAGACTTCAAAGTACGTAGAGAGTGTGCATAGCATGTTACGTAGGTACACATGTGCATGCACATGTGAGTATGTATCCGAGGCGAGACAGGTGGATATGTTTCATTATTCATGTACAGCCTTCGTACCTTCTTTGTTGTTTGTATCGGCTATCGCGCGTCTTTTTTGTATTATATGACTTATGACGACATATGACTTATGAGCCAGTAGCGCGCGCGCCGGCGCCGCCTCGTGAGACTTTTTGCAACTAGTCCATTGAGCAGTTTAAAAAGAGATGCGTCTCGACCAGCCGGAGCGCGGAGGCCTTCGCCCCAAGGTCGTGTGAGCGATACGAGCAGCGATGCCGTACAAAGAGAGAGAGATACAATCGTAATGATTCACCGATTCTCATTCACAGGTCCCTCAGCCTCTGAGCTGCGGCCGTGCGGGGTGCTGCGTGCTGGAGTAGTCCGGGGCTCGTTCCGCGGCGATGCCGTTGTGTCGCGTCTCGTTGTCGTTGCTCTTCTCTCCCACAGGGTCAGGGACCCCTTACACGATGACACAACCCACAGGAATAAATATTTGTGTCGCTAATGTTCGAACGAGCGGTCGTGTCGTGCAGCTCTGGTGCTGGAGAGGTCATGGGAGCCGCTCGGGACCATTCTAAAGGCGTGTTTTGGTAGCTGGGGCCTCGAAAGCGCCCCCGGGGCCCTCTGCAGGACCTCTCTGGAGCCCCAAAACGGCGCCTGCAGGGCGGCTCGCGGCTTTGAGGCTCGTAAAACGGGTGCCGCTGGCATCGTCCCGATGCGTGTGTATCACCACGTGCCGATATCGCGCACGAATCAGCCGCGAGAGTCCGTCCAAGCCTCGGAACGAGCCCAACGGGGCCATTTTGGCCCCTCGGCGCCTTCTGCCGACCTTTGGCGCCCGATTTGGTGCCACCCTGCGGTCTTCAGACGCATCTGAGGTGCTCCCATGATGTTTCTACATCGGGACGTGTCGTGGTCTGACAATCGAAAGCGGCAGAGAGCAACAACCACCCAAGCACGCACCCACGACCCGTCGCTGTTTTGGCTCTGGTGCACACAGTCACCTAGCAGCTACTAGAGTCCGTCCGGTCCCCCGATTGGGTTCTCCGCACTCCCCGCGTCTAGGAGGAGCTGCAGGATCGCCGCCTCGCGCGCCTCCCCGTCCCCTCTGACTCCTGGACGCCTCACCACCGTCAGCAAAGTCGTGGAGGAAGGCGCCAGCGTCCCCGAAAGGGTTTGCGCCTGTCTCGGTGTAGGCCTGCAGCAGCCCGCGGAGTCGCAGGCGCTCCTCGGCGATGAAGACGCCATTCGCCCGCGAGGCGTCTCGCAGTTCGCTGCCTCTCAAACCCCGACAGGTCGCGCAGCGGCGTCCCGCGCAGCAAGATGGCGAACTGCAACAAACAAACAAATTGCTAAAAATCTCTCTCTCTCTCTCCGAACTGCTCGAGAGTTGCACACAGGGCGATGAGTCCCCTGTCGTCAAGACGGTTACCGTAGTTGTGCTTCTGCTTGTCGTTACCCTGGTTGAGGCCCCCCCTCAACCATCTGGTTGACGGTTGAGACCCCCCGTCATATGATGTAGCGTTTGTTGTAGAGATTTCACGCTGTAGAGGGCCTCTACAGCGCTCTACATCTGCATCGCTCTGTCCCGCGGCGGATGTAGAGCTCTACAGCTCTACAGCGCTCCAGAGCGCTCTACAGCTCTACAGCTCTACAGCGCTCTACAGGTAGTAGTCTACACTCTACATCCTCTACACCCTCCCTCAGGCGCCGGCGTGGAACGGCGCGCCGCGGGCGCTGGCCGACAAGCTGGGCTCATGGGCGGGCCTTTGCCTCCACGAGCACGACGGCGCCGAATCTCGTCTCTTCTAATGAAATCCGGGCACCAAGGTGCCTCATCCTGCAAAAGGGAGCGTAGAGGGGTGAGTCCTGCAGCCGAGGAGGTGTGAAGACGCGAAGCGTGGGTTATGAATCATTAATATGAACAGTCGAGAAGGCCAGTGCGCGCTATGAACAGAGTGAGTGTGCTGGGCGCTGTGCCCTTACACAAGGATTTTAAGGAGAGGAGTGTGGCGCTAGCCATCGCCCACCCTTGGGCGTCCGCCTCTTCCTGTCTCTATTCGCTCGCCGCACCCGTCACCACTGCCGGGTTCTCAAGTTGGGCCCTCGGGTCGCCAGGAGCGCCCGGGCGCGTGAGATGCCGCACACCGATTCGGCTTTCTGTGTTAACGTTCTTCAAGCTCCGACATGCCCTCCTCTTTCTCAGGCTTCTTTGCCCTCTCTTGCGACAGCCGCACCATCGCAAACATCGAGCTCATAGAATTTCAACCCGCTGGGCTGTCTCTACTCGGATCTCGGTTGGCAGGAAGCACGAGGGCAGCTCGGACAGCGGGGGATCTGGCTTGCGGCGAAAAGGAGGCTTGAGAATGCTCCAGTGGAAGGTGTAGTCGAGGCTGTCGCGAGGGCGGCAGCAGAGGACGGCGGCGAGGTGGGCTCGCAAGATGCGGCTGGGGAGGATGAAGAAGAGGGCATAGACAGGAATGACCAAGAATAAGATTCGTAAAGCCGTCATCAGCTTCGTAAAGCCGTCATCCTCGTCCGTCATCAGCTTGTCGGCGACGAACACAAACATGCTCTTTTTCTCCTCATCATACTCCTCGAGCTTCTTGCGCAGGGCGAGGTACAAGCCGCACACCTCCTCGCGATCAGCCCGGCCGATGAAGCGCGTCGACTCGGCCTCGAAGAGCGCCTCCATGTGCCGCACGCTTGGCAGCCGCCCGCGCGCCACCGGCACACGGCCGACGCCGAGCTCGTACGCGTGCCCGCCCCCTTCCGTCATCAGCAGCGCGCACGCCGTCTCAAACGTGCACCATCCCGAACGACACTTGGCGCCGGCGTAAGGGATCAGGTCGAGGCGGTCATCTGGAGGCGCGCCGCCGTATTTCTCATTCAGCTCGCGCTCCAGCTCGAGAGGGATCCGCCGGTGCTGCAGCACGAGGACGCGCGGGCTGGCGTAGGCGTGGCTCATCACGCCGAGCCCCTTCTTGAACACATTAGTCTCCGCGGCGGTACGTTTCGCGCCCGTTATCGGGTCGTGCTGTGGCAAAGTCCCACATCAGGGCGGGCCGTTCCTCTGCGTGGCGGCCCTCCCGGTAATACGAGAGGACCTCGTCAAGGTGGAAGCGGCTGCCGTCTGGCTGATCGCCACCGCCGTTGGACGAATTGAAGGGGCCCTGCCACTTGTAGGAGAGCGCAGCGACTTTCTCTTCGGCAAGCAGGCGGGCCGCGTCGGCCGGGGCCCAAAACGCCTCTTCCGGCAGGTCTTGCTCCCGCAGTATCACCCAGTCCGTTGGGCGCTCGAGCAGCCAGGCGACGCGCAGCAGCCGGAGGGAGCCGTCGGCGAGGCGCTCAGGCAGGTCGGCCTCGATGGCGGCGATGCGAGCGCGGAGTTCTTTGCGAAGGCGGTAGTGTTGCAGAGGTAGTGCGAAGACCCCATGAAGAAATATGACGTAGACGATGAGACCTGTCGGGTCATAGTCGCAGTGCTCCGGAACAAGCCACGAGAAGCCCCACGGGGAGGCGACGAGGAAGACGAGCATAACGAGGGCGAGAAAGAGCATAAAGAGCGCGAGAAAGAGCTTGGGCTGCGATGCCTTGGGCAAGAAGGCAAAAAATCCAAAGAAGTAGGCCGTTACAAAGGCGGCCCCGCCACGGATACGCCACGCCTCCTCTGCTGCATCGCAATCGGCCGGTGGCATCGGTGGGGGCGGCTCGAGGGGCGGCGGCAGCGGGGCGCGCCCCGGTGGCCACGGCGGCGGTGCGGGCGGTGCGGGCGGTGCGGGCGGTGCGGGCGGGGAGAGAGAGGCCAATGTCAGATCGTTGTACGTCCAGGAGCCGTCGCAGTAAACCCGCCAGGTAGCCGTGCCGAGCGGCGGCGAGGAGGAGTCGTCCGAGTCGATGCGGGCCCAGTAGGTACACCCCCCGTCGCCATCGAGGTCGCTAGAGGCTGTAGTGCTCGGTTCTTGGTTGTCCACGATCCAGCGGGCGGGATAGCCTTCGCCACTGCAATCGGGGTCCCAGTAGATGTAGTACGATGACGAGGCCTCGCGGAAGTACGGCGCTCCCGAGAAGGTGTAGCCGACTGCGACATACGAGCTTCGCGAAGCGCAACCTCCGGTGATCATGAGCGGCGGCGGCATCGGCGGGGGCGGAAGCGGCGGCGGAGCGGCCGGCGGCGGCGGCGACGGAGGCGGCGGCAGCGGGGCGCGCCCCGGTGGCCACGGCGGCGGTGCGGGCGGTGCGGGCGGTGGGGACGGGGAGAGAAAGGCCAGTGTCAGAAGATTGTTCGTCCAGATGCTGTCGCAGTTAACCCGCCAGGTAGCCGTGCCTAGCGGCGGCGAGGAGGAGTCGTCCGAGTAGATGTCGGCCCAGGACTTACATTTCCCGTCGCCATCGAGGTCGCTGGAGGCGGTAGTGCTCGGCTCATCATCATCCACGATCCAGCGGGCGGTAGAGTCTGTACCACTGCAATCGGGGTCCCAGTAGATGTAGTACGATGACGAGGCCTCGCGGAAGTACGGCGCTCCCGAGAAGGTGTAGCCGACTGCGACATACTCGACGTTGTCGAGGGCAGAGCTTCGCGAAGCGCAACCTCCGGTGATCATGAGCGGCGGCGGGAGTGGTGGAGGCGGCGCCGTCGCCCGCGGCAGGACCTTGACGAGGAGCGCGGCGGTCGAGCCGCCCGTGCTGAGCACCGCGAGGAACGCGAAGAAGCTGCTGAGCAGGTGGAGGCGGCCGGTGGCGACGGCCGTAGAAAGTTTAGATTTCTGCATCGACGGGCTGCTTTGAGGCGGTGCCTAAGGGCGGCCTGTTCGAGTGCAAGGGAGCGGAGAGCGTCTCGTGACGCGATTGAGGGCCGCATCAATTCTTTTCTTGTACTAGCACGCGCCAGTTCTCTGTCTCGAGCCTGTTGCTGTAAGAGAGAGTTCTCATCGCGGGGATGCGGAGAGGCGCAAGCGGCGCAAAGCCGCCAAGGCGGCCGCTGCCTCCTTCGAGCCCATGAACGCCACCGAGGCGCCGGAGCCGCCCGCCGCGCCCGACACCTCGCCGGAAATGGAGGTCGAGCCGGCAGCGCCCGACGCGCAGGCGCTCGCGACGGGTGCGGCTGCTCGGCGACGTCGAGCGTGGTGCCCGACGGCTCAGGAGCCGTCTACCATCAACAACTACCACGGCTGCCACCGTCGGCGCCTTCGCTCGAGCTCTCCGAGGCCGCGTTCTGACCTCGTGCCGCGGCTGTCGTCGCTACAGCAGCGACGAGGGCCGCGGCAAGGGGTGCAGCGGCGACGGGCGGGGGGGAGAGGCGCGGCCAGCTACCGGGCCGTTGCCCCCGCCCACCGCGCCGGGCCCCTGCACCCGGAGGCGGCTTGCGGCAGCCTTCCCGTGTCTCCGTGCAACCCGCTTGGGTAGCCGGCCCGATGTGTGGCCCGCTGCCGGAAAAAATCCGGGGTTTAGCTGGCGTATCTCGGGCCCACTTTAGAGCTAGGGCATGATCTTAGGTGTTCTGGATAGCCCACAAGGGTCTTCTGTGGCATGGTAGCGGTGGTTTTGCGCGAGGCGTTCTCATTCAAAAATCACCTCATTTCCCCCACTACTCTCCGGGTTTCAGGCGTTTGAGCCGAAACACAAAACATATATTGATACACGACAACCAGCGGCAGCGCGCCACAGGCCGCTTCGCACAGAGCGCGAGGATCTAGTCGATCACGCGAGCGACATGGAGGATGGAGCTAGAGAGAGACACGGAGAGACCCCAACGAATAAACGACTGTGTGCCTCGATGTACACTTTGGGCGCCGCCGCCGGGCGACGCCATCCTCCCCGCCCTCGCACCTCTCCTTGCCCCGCAGCCCCTCCCCTCCCTTGAGAGAAGAGACCGCGGGAGGCGCCGGGTAGCGGCCGCCTCTACGCCGCGCAGGCGGCGGAGATCGCCTTGACGATCGCGTCGGGCGACCCGCCCTGCTGGGCGCACAGGTCGGCCATCGTCGCGGAGAAGGAGAGCGCCTCCGGGTGCAGCTCGCCGCACGCCGACTTGTACGCCTTGTGCACGTCGTAGTGGCAGTCGACGTGCTGCGCGCCTGCAGAGAACAGCGTGCGACGAACCAGTCCGAGAGGGGCCCGAACAGTCGAGGGCAAGCGCAGTCGCCGCGCCGCGCGCCGTGCGCGCGCGGCGGCAGCGCCTCGATGCCGCCGTTGAGGCCAAGCCGCTGGGCGACCGCCTCGAACGTCTTGCGGGTGGAGAGGCGCGCCTTTTTCACAGCTGGAGGCGTGAAGAGACGCCGTTCACAGCCCGTCCGCGAGAGAGGGCGAGGCTGCGCGCCTGCACCAGCGCCACCAGCTCCTCTCCTGCCGCCGGCAAGTGGGGCGAGGAACGCGTCAGCGGGTGCGGTGCGGTGCGGTGCGGTGCGGTGCGGTGCGGTGCGGTGCGGCTGCGGCTGCGGTGCGGCTGCGGTGCCGGCAGCTGACAGCAGCTGGGGCGGTGTGTGGGTGCGGCTGTGCGGGGAGGGGCCGGTGCACCGGTGCCTTTTAGGGGTGGGAGGGGGGGTGGGGCTTCACCTG